AAGAAAGAAAGAAAGAAAGAAAGAAAGAAAGAAAGAAAGAAAGAAAGAAAGAAAGAAAGAGAGGAAGGAAGGAAGGAAGGAAGGAAGGAAAGAAGAAAGGAAGAAAGAAGGAAAGAAAGAAGGAAAAAAGCAGGAAATAGCATAGAATCAGCAGCCCAAAAAGACTTTTAACATGGATACAAAAGGCTATTTAGAAATTTTGCATTAGATGTCCAGGTTAAGTGAATGTTACAACTAAAACAAACAACTAAAACATCAACAAAAAAGAACAAAAGCAAAACAAACCCCAAAATGACAAAAAAAGAAATAACAAAACATCAAAAAAATCTTGTATAAATCAGGGGAGAGATTAAGCAGGCTGTCATAGGGAAAAGATCAACCTTTAAGGAATGAAATATACATGTGCTAAATACAAAGGTAAAAAGCTAAATACAAAGGTAAAAAGTTTTGGATAAATTAAAAGCACAATGTAAATCTGGGTTAGTGAAACTGCTTGATAACTGAGGTGTAAATAGGAAAGTTGGAGATTACAGGAGATATAACAAAGGATTTTAATGAGTTCTTTTGTCAGCTTTTAAGGGTTGAACACAATTCCCACCACACACAATTCATTCTTTAAACCAAAAGCTTTAGAGGAATCAGGTCAGTTTGGAATAAATATACTGGAACTCAGATCTAAGTAGACAAATTAAATTTAGTAAATCGTCAGGAATGATAACATTCACTGGCAGAGCTGAAAAAAATTTGGATGTCAAAATGGAACAAAACAAAAATCAGCATTAACATTCTTCAGGAAAAAAAAATCATTCTGTAAAGAGCTTACATTATATCAATATTATATTATATCAATAGTAGTAATTTCCAGACCAGTCTCTGCCATCAGTTAGCTTTCTAATTTAGCTCTACAATAGTGGCTTAAGCTTTTTTCTCTTTGAGTGCACTCTAAAAGTCCAAAACTCTTAAGCTTTCTGGTCAACAAACAAGGGAACTCCCTCCAGAAGTTCACCAAATTTGGAGCAGGACACTAAGATTTGAAGATGCAATGAACTTTCCGGTTGATTTACTTTGGCTCCATCATCTTTTACATCTGCATTGCATCTTGAATTTCTGAGCTTTGTAGACCGATTTACAGTGCTAAAATAAGCAGTTATGATGAGGATAATTTTTAAATATTCTCTCTGGCATCTGTTATTCTTTGTGTGTCCTAACCCAAGATAAAAAGCAATAATGGGAGGGAAAATAAAGTCTATCTAAAAGAAGTTTTTTTTCCCTCCTGGATTGCACACCGTATGCTTTAACTTTATGAAAATTATAAGGGGGGGAAAAAAATAGCAGAGGAAGTCCAATAATAATTACATAAATTAAAAAAAAAAAAAAAACAAAAAAAACAAAAAAAAACCAAGAGCTGTATGGAAATGGAATCCTATCATTAATTTCAGTGAGAATACAATTACATTCAGTAAAACCTGCCGAAGTTGAGAACTTATTGATTGCTTGTATATAATATCTAAGCTTTCTTTTAACAGCATCATTTTCACTCCTTACCTCTGTCAGTGCAGTGAGACACTCAGCTATTTTCTGAGGATTTTCACCAAAATTTTCTGACCCATTACATTAGTCACTATTACGTACACCTAAGAACCCTAAATAAGCAGCAGATAAGAATATTTCTTTCATGGGAAAGAATTCTCTCCAGCCAGTTTCTCTTCACCAAAAGTGCATCAGAAATTTCTTGCATTAATAAATCACATGTGAAATTTCCTTCTCCTAATCCTCTATGCTTGAGGTGAAGTGTCAAATACAAATGTCATCTCTTTCATGTCATGCCTTACTATCACAACTCCTGAGGGGGTTATTTTACATCACACACCATGAAAATTATTCACCACATGCAAAACAGAAATGAATGCTTTTATAAAACCTTACATTCATTGCTGAGTATCAAAACCACATATTCATTGCTATATAAATATCAACATTTCTTGGAAGGTAGTGCCAGTCCAAAATTTTAAATACACACATGGAAAAACATATATATACACACCTAAGACTATATGCATTCTTGTTAATTCTTTAGAGGTACACAATACCCATTTCAAGTACTAGAACTCTGTTATGAAAAGTCAGAATCCATTACGTTACATTGACTATAAATAGGAAAAAACTAAGATATCAGCCAAAGATCTTCGAATGTGATATTTGATACCAAATGATTACTGAATGTTATATCTTTTGTAAGCTAGCCCTTTTTATTATTATATTATATTTATTATATATATAAATATATTATATTTATTTTTATTATTATATTATATTTATTATATAGACCTCCTTATTATAAGCCCTTCTCTTGCATGGAAAACACCTCAGCTTGTACTCAAGAGTCATTTCAAGTTTCAGTGCATGGTCTTTCATAAACGTTGCTACCTTCCTTTGTCTGGACTACCACACGATACTGCCCAATCTATACACCTACACCTACACCTGCCTACATATAGACCTCATCAAGACATATACAGTTTTCTGGGGTTTTCAGCCTCAACGTGCCCACTGACACCCGGGAGCTAATAGAATTAATGCATTCTCAGAAGGGCCTAACAATCTCTTCTCTACCCTCTTTATTCTAAGGCATTGCAAACAAAACCAGGAAGAGCAAGCTATTCAAAGAATGATAAAGACTATTTTGTTATGCTTTCTTTGGGAAAATAAATAAATAAATAGCTGAACCTGATCAGCTATTTTATATGTGCGACTTCAGAGACTTTAATTAATGCCCTGCAAGAAGCTGTTACCTTAGTCACAAGATCCTTAAAAACAGAATGGATGAACAAAATTACTTTTATAACTTTCTTCTGAAAGTAATGTATCAGATAAAATGATGTTTCTTCATGAATTTCCAACTACAAGCTTTTGGTCTGCCTTTTTGAGCAGAAAGATCTTTACAGGCATAAAGACCTCAGCTCAAGGTGAGCCTCTGTCTAACGTACATTAGACTGTAGCTTTTTAATTAAAATAAGGTTACTTACAGAGCAAATTGCACAAGTAAGAATATGAGATGTTAATCTAGATGTGAATGTGAAATACCACTGCCTTGGGGGAAGGGACTTTATCCTTCCTTACAACCTTCAGCTATCTCTGTGCACGCTGGCTAGAAATTAGATCATTCAAATACACAAAAAGAAACTTCAAAATTACTCCATTACAGCTAGTAAAGAGAACTTAATTTTTTTTTCACTGATGTTCAAGAGATATTAACTGAATTTTCCCCCAAGTATAAAGAGAATGTACATAATTATGAGTGTTTTGTTACATTTTTTTATATTCTACCACATTAACTCTGAAAACTGACACTTCTACCTGTCAGCTACTTGTCAGATTCCACTTCTACTTGTCAGCTGGCTTTGATACATATGTTAGTATCTCCCTCTAGTGGTTTTCTAAGTAATATTATTGATCAGACACCCTGGAAGCATACAAGTTCAACATTAATCTCATTCTCATCAGATCAGCAGTTCTTTTTGTGTACATGTCACCATGCAGTAGTGGAAATTCTCATGTCATTAAACACAACACAGTCAAAAATTCCAGGGCCTTGATTCTGAACTGGAAAATCTGCACTAGGTCAACATGCTGTATTCATGTATTTCATTAGAAGAAAAGACATTGTTTACGCTACTTAGGCAACAAATATACATTTTTTAAATACATAGGTCACAATATATATATTTAGGTCACAATAAGTTACAAATACGAATTTACTGAATCCGACATCTAATCAGAAGAATGCACACTGTTACCTTCTATCATTAACATTTTTGTTAACTTGAATGAGGTGAAAACTTCCATATGCAGAGCACTTGTCTTTGGTATCAAGTACAGCTTTATTCTCACAGTTACCATAGTATCTTCTGATTACCTTGTGCCTTTGTTTGCTTCTGTGCAGAAAGCTTTATTTTATTTTATTTTAACAGGGGCAGGAAAAAAATATTTTCAAGAGAATGACACTGACTCAGTTGATACATGTGCAGTCTCAAAGAGACAGCTGCATAAGCCCAAAAGGTTTCTGTGTCTTTGTATTTGCTAGGGGAGAGGTCTCTGTGTTCCCTAACTCTGATTTATAGGGCTCCAAGCAGAGTTTTTTCATATTTAATGTCCCTAAATGCTGCATTAGTAATTTGCTCCAGACTGCATCTTTTGAGACCTGCTTCATTATGTTTTCTTTCGTATGCTTTCTACTAGAAAAAGCCTGCTAATTTTTTTAAGCCAAGAACAAAACAAAAAATTAGAGAAAGTAACTGACCATCCACACCACATGAAAACTTGCAGAAAAATGAAGATAGGAGCAGACGTCATGGCAGAGGCACGACTCGTTGTGCATATAGGCTGATCCTATTAATAACGGGCAAAGTAGCAAGTAGAGGAAAAGAAAGAAAACACAGAAAAAAAGACATACAAGATGAGATATCATGCAGTTTGCTGGCAGTTAGCAGAGTTAATGTGAAAGCATCCACCCAAGAGCAAGAGATTCACAGCGAATTTTGCAAATGAACTTAACCAAAACAATCCACTGTTACAAAACACATGACTTACACACTGATTAGCACATCAAGCTAGTGAGCAAGAGTTTTACTTTCACACATGATAGTTGGAAGGACATGGAATATTTACAACGAACAAATATTTTTGTACAGGTTTTCAGCTTTGTTGGTCTCTAATAAGACTTCTTTATTCAAATTAAATCTTGTTACTAGAAAAATACATTGAAAGTGTAGAATACTGTCTGGATTTTACTTTTTTTTAATATATATAGACAACTCAACCATTGTGCCTACGTGGATCATTGGATCAAAACCTGGTACACAGTAGTTATAATCAACTAACCTCATCAGAAGTGTCAATCTTTCCTTTGCAAAAATGGGATGAAGTATTACAAATGCTTTTTAAAATTAATTTTTATATGATGTCAACTATTCTCCTTTTAAGTACTCTTTCTTTTGCAGTTTATTCTGAATATCCGGAACTAAATTTGTTCTTTTTCACAAAGCATTTTGAAGGAGAGATTATATTCAAAATAAATAATATATTTGGGACAGTTATCATTTTTTCCTTCAAAACTACAATTACGTATACAGTACAAGGAGAACTAAAGCATCAGCATAGCTTTGCTAATTTCAGAAAAGAAATGCAGTTTTGTACTTGTTCAGAATTTGACCTACAGTCAATACACACTTGCAGAATTTCTAGAGGGAACATCATCCCAAAACAGATGGTTTTCACCATGTAACAACACTTCAAATGATATTTGTAAATACTACTATAAAAATATCCGTTCATAACAGTAATATCATCTGTTTGCCAAATCCACAGACAAACTGAATTCCTTAGCACTGTACTCAGCCCATCAGTTTTATTCTTGCTGAGGTTACTTTCGTTGAAATCATGTGTGAAAGTACTATAGTTATAGGAAGGGTAGATAAGAAAGCAGCTGTTAATTTTATGTAATTCATGGGATACTTGAAATAGAGTGACTATGGTCTAGAGTGAACAGTATGTTTAGTGATAGATAGATTATAAGGCATCAAGGAACATTTAAATACAGTTTTTCCTGCTCTTCTAGGACAACTCTACAACTGTTTTTAGTGATACGCTGAAGTGTTGCAAGTTCAGTTTTACCTGTTTGGCTTCATCAAAACAGACATCAGGACCTTTTCTGTATCTGGGCTGTTTGACCATTTCACAAGGATTTGGCCCTTCATCTGTGTATCTGGTTAAGGAGCATGTTTGTATTTTGGGCTCTGTACATAACCAGGATTAACATTCTGTTTTCACTTTTGCGGGACAAGTTTTATTCAGATAGAATTGCAATTAAAATCAGCTGTCACAGTTCCCTAGTTAAGTGAAAGAAAACCAAATAAAATTAAACCAACATCCCAATAAAATAGATGTCAACTATCTTTTTTAATGAATATTGCTTTAAAAAAGAAAATAAGTCTTCATGACTTTTAACAATTAGTAATTTCAGAACAATATGCAAAAAATAAAGGATGCTTCTATTACTATTGCAGAAATTATTTGACAAAGTGGGAAACCTTCTGTTATAATTGTGTATGTTACTATTGAATTATTTGGGTTGAAATGAATAAGCACAGTAGAAGTGAGGAAATCCATCTGGAAAGGTAATGTCATATACCAATTGAAGATTGCAGTGAAGGTTGTGGCAGTAATGCCAAGGCCTATAAGAACTACTTATTTTACTATACCTACATTATTCCAAATGTCATAGAAAAGATCATCTCACTGTAGCCTTCAGTAGTAAATGTGAGGTAGTGCATTGGTTTATGTTTCTGAAACTCATATTTGCTGATATTTAAGCATAAATACTACACTTCGCTTTTACCACAGACTAAAAAGATACAGAAATCACTGCAGTGCACTCGAAAGGCACTAATACAATGAAAACAGTCTTCTGTTGAACCTGCTAATATTACCATTTTTTGTTTTTGTGGAGTTTAAATATTTTTGGTTTTTTGAATCATTTCCCTTGTACGTAGTACACACAATAAGCTACAGTTTGTTTTTTTTTTTAAATACTGAGCACCAAAATTTTTTACATATGTTAGCATATGTAATGTAAAATTGAAGCAATCCTATTCATGCACTACTGTGGAGTACTACAGCAGATTCACTGGAGTAAGAGGAGATGATCAAAGGAAGAGAAGGCAAGAAGACAGGGAATTTATTTCTACAGCTCTGGAATCTATTTCTGTTCTCATTCAGATGTTATCAGATTCCCCTTCCCTCTCCTCTGTGGAGGCCCAGGTGAAAAGGAAGTCGAAACATAGAAGAACTCTAAATGACCACGTGTACAAGCAAAGCGGTACCAGCCAGAAGGAATCAGAGCCTAATAATATCCATCTGAATAACACCTAAAGGTCATTCTGCCTATTTATGCGATGTTATGCTACATCTGCATTTCACAATGTACCTTAGTTATAGAAAAGAGAGGATAGTCTAGTACTGCATAGTTGAAACAAAGAATAAAATAGTTCATTTAGTCAATACAAGCCCACCCAACTGCTCTGACTGCAATTTGAGGTCATTTACTGCCCTCTGAAAGATTGGATCCCCACAGGGAAATGCACATAATGTGCCTATTTCCCATCAAATCTATTCTGTTTTCTATAGCGTGTCTTATCCATAAATTCAGACAGTGGCAATAGTTAATCAAACTGTCATGGACTGAAGCCAATTAGAATATTAGGCTGTGTTTACATAGTTTTGTGACAACATGAGTATTGCTTCCACCCCAGTGTAACTTCCTCTTTCAGACCAAGCATGGATGGAATTCCCATTTTATGAATGTCGGAATTAACACATTTTTGTGCTAAAGAAATACAGTCATCTCTACCATCATTTGTTTTTATTTCAGATATGGAAGTATGCTGTCTCAACCAACTTCCTGACATGGAAAAAGATTTATATTTGTTTCATATTCTGTCATGATAATATACTATGATTACTCTCTGCCAAATTTCTACTGACCTGTATTTCCTGCATTTCCATCACAATTATCTACCTGTACCTAATGCAGTGAACAGAGCAGGGCAAAGTTTCATCTTACAACAATTTTTCACCAGTTTTGTTTCAGTGCATGCGCTGCAAGGACTATGCTTGGCAGGTACATCCTGTATCTCCAGCCAGATCTGAAGAATTTTCCACGATACCAGCTGGAAAACTATAGCCTTTGATGATTAAAGCAGATTCCACAACGAGTAAGTAGTTCTTATCCTCACTAAGTATACGATTAAGTGCCTCAGTCACTTTGTCCGAGTGTTGCAGGCATCAGTGCAGCATTCAGCTTTTAACGACCAAGCTATCTTATCTTGGTGTTACCCTTCTTACTTCTTACTTCTCTACACGGATATTTCTTAAGGCTGACCAAGCCCAGGTGTCTCAGGCTCCCTTCCCACATCCTGCACTCCAACTGCCATTCAGTTTGGTGGTCCTTCACTGGGCTTGCTGCACTATGTCAGTAAGGTACTGAGGAATCCAAGTCTGTACAAAACAAGTGTTTATGAATGGGAAGGATCATCATGTGACCTTTATTGCTAGGCATACTGCCAACTGATGTTCAATTTCTTCTCCATCATGACCCTCAAGGCATTTTCTGCAGAGCTGTTTCTCATCACTCAACCCTTAGATTGTCAACTTGCATACCATTATTTTGTCTTGGATCCAAAACTTTGCACCTTTTTCACTATGCTCCTCTGAGCCTATTTCCACTTAGGTCCTCTCAAACAACAGCTTTGCCCTCTACCTCAAGGACTGCTGTTTCAGATGATTTGTGTTGTCGCCCACAAATATCTGCTGCTTCAAGTACTCCAATGGCAACCATGCTACTAATATAAACACAAACAGAGCATTATTACCCAATTATATTGCAGTATGTCATAGACAGAAAAATCAATCCACATCAGTAAATAACTTGATTTTAAAGGATACCCGGCTTTTCTGCTTGCATCAGTGGCTTTGGATCACAGGAGCGGCACAGCAGTTGGCTGTCACTAATAATGAATACTAGATTGGTGTTTGAAATCTTCTCTGCATGATAAAGTCTGGAAAAAAAGCCGACAATAAACAATGCTTAAGTGAAACAAGGAATGCTGTATTTGAGAACATGCATAATCAGAATAAAACATAATCTAACTTCTCAGAATCAAACTGGCTTCTCTTTTCTATTAATGAATATCTGGAAAGATTAATGACAAATTTTGTAATCTTTTTGACATTTTCATGATTCCCTCTTTCAGCTAGACTTATTGGTGGAAAAAGAAAAAAGGAGGAGAGCACAGAAGGCCTTTCATTGATTTAACAGCTAGCTCTGTGCTTCCAAAGTAGTAGCTATACTGAGAAAAAAACATCAGTTCAGCATCAGTTCTTCTGGCAACACTGAAAAACAAAACAAACAAACAAAAAAATAAACACAAATGAGAAGAAAACACACACAGAAACTTACCTATAAAAAGGAAGATAAACCAGCTTATGGTATTTGTGCTGCTTTTTGGATATGTGTCTGTTGTATTTTACGTACATATTATTCTGTAAAAGGCCTTTTGGTTAAGAGTCATTTGTAATTTGTAAGTAATTGAAGAGGTAGAATTATATCTTTAAGCTATAGATGATACACTTCATATATTAGATACTAAACACACGGCTGTATCTAGATTTTTCAAAGAAAAATTTCATGTGCTATTATTTAAATCTACAGGAGAGGCAGACAGACCTTCCACAATCGTAGTTTGTTTCTATTTCTTAGTCATTAGGAAAATGTATCCTAGAGGTCAAAGCAAGACAACTCAGGATAATGTAACAGGTTAATTACTTTTAATAGATTCTATTTAAAAAAAAAAGTTTTTACAAACTTTATGAAGGTGGTTGTTATTCTACACAAGAAGACATTTTGTTACTTAGATGTAAATACATTTTACCACTTTCTTTTTTACCAAATTTTTCAAATGATGAGTTCATACCGCTGATTAAGTACAGTAAGAGGACAAAATACCTGATAATTAAATAATTGATGCTGTAATTATGTATCTGGTTGTTTTTAACAAGCTCAAGCCACCTCTTTTTTCTTGTGTTTTCCTGGCTTTATAACAATAACATATCCATCATAGTTAGAAACATGGTAATTATTTGTCTTAAAACAGCATCAGCTTCACTTATCCTTTCTTAGACTGTTGATCTTTCCAGACTGCCAAGTGCACATTGAAGCACACAATTGTACTGACTGGGATACCTATGCATGGGGAATATCACAGAATCACAGAATGGCCCAGGTTGGAAGAGACCTCAAGGATCATCAACCTCCAACCCCCCCGCCACATGCAGGACCACCAACCTCCACATCTAATACTAGACCAAGCTGCCCAGGGCCCCATCCAGTCTGGCCTTACACACCTCCAGGCATCCACAACCTCTTTGGGCAGCCTGTTCCAGCACCTCACCACTCTCTCTGTACAGAACTTCCCCCTGACATCCAACCTAAATCTTCCTACCTTCAATCTAAAACCATTTCCCCTTGTCCTGCAGTTATCAACCCTTTCAAGAGCTGATTCCCCTCCTGTTTGTAGGCTCCCTTTAGGTATTGAAAGGCTGTAATGAGGTCACCCCGCAGCCTTCTTTTCCGCAGGCTGAACAAACCCAGCTCCCTCAGCCTGTCCTCATAGGGAAGGTGCTCCAGTCCCCTGATAATCTTCATGGCCCTCCTCTGGACCCTCTCCAACAGCTCCACATCTTTCTTGTACTGGGGGCTCCAGACCTGGACACAGTACTCCAGATGGGGCCTCACAAGAGCAGAGTAGAGGGGGAGAATCACCTCCCTGTCCCTGATGGCCACCCCTCTTCTGATGGAGCCCAGGATACCATTTGCCTTCTGAGCTGCAAGGGCACATTGCTGGCTCATGTTAAATTTTTCATCTATCAAGACCCCCAGGTCCTTCTCTGCAGGGTTGCTGTCAAGGACCACTTTTTCCAGTCTGTGCTTATGTCTGGGATTCCTCCAGCCCAAGTGCAAAACTCTGCACTTTGCCGTGTTCCACCTCATCAGTTTCATCTGGCCCACCTTTCTAGCCTGTCGAGGTCCCTCTGAATGGCATCCCTTCCTTCTACCATGTCAACCGCACCACTCAGCTTGGTGTCATCAGCAAACCTGCTGAGGGTGCACTCAATTCCGTCATCAATGTCATTGATAAAGATGTTAAAGAGCGCAACATCTTTATCATAGGTGTCTTTGCTTTCATCTATTTTTTAACATTTGCTTCTGAATTTTAAATTGAGTAATTCTGCAGTTAAAAAAAAAAATGAAATGTCTATAGCATGTGTACAAGTTTGGGCTTTTCTTTTCTTTTCTTTTGAGAGGGTTAGGCTGACAATGCAGTATCTTTAGAAAATGTATTTGGACAAAATGTATTTCCAAGCCTTCTGATAATACCCTCTGGAATCAATGAATGCTGAAGTTACTATAATCTATAACAGTGCTTAAATCATCAGTACTATTGACTAGAAGGTAAATTTGAAAATAAATTACATAATCTTCTTAGCATAATAAATTTCAATACATAACTCCATTAAAGGAGATATCTGCTTCTGAGTATTACAAAACTCCTTTAAGTTTATGTAATAAATTAAAAGAAAAGCAATAGTCAAGGAAAAAGAGGATTTATTTACATACAGGCTATAAAGAAAAAAAAAAAATAATGACAATGAATCACTAAATTCAAATTCATTCTAAGAGAATACAAAAAGAATTCAGTTTATTCATGTACTGCCTAAATACCTCTACACTTCATGGAAGTCTGATATAGTTAACCTCAAATACATTTTTATTACTACAATGATGTCTTTAACATTTTCAAAATAAATGAATATTCAAAAGCTATTGTTAACATTGAAGTAGGCCTACCTTGAACAGTTGATGCAGTCTACAATCCCAATAAAAGATTTATCATCATTTTCAAAGAAATACTGAGTTTGCTCAGTGATACAACTTGTTTTAGGCAGAGCAGTAGAAAAATCATCGTCTTCCATATCAGCTGCCAGAAAGAGGAACAAAAATAAATAAATAAAGACATTTCAAAAGAGGTAGACAAAATGAGGAGATCCAAAATATGGCCCCCAACCTAGATTCTTATCTTCCAGTTCACTCAAAGTTGACTCTCTAATATTCTCTTGACTTACCTGCCTCAAGGAAACGTGGGAAAGTCAAGCTCAAAAACAGCTGCTGTAAGATAGACCTGAACACAAAAAGACAACGTGTATTTGTTAAAGGTTTTTTTTGTATTTGCATTTGCTGTGTCCCTAAAAACTACTCAAACAAGACCAAGTAACAGCAGAATCATCACAGCTAATTATGCTTTTGTAAGCTATTAACACTGTGCTTGTATACACTTCACAGTTTGATTCTTTTTCTTTTCAGTTTCTTCCATATCTTCTTTCACAGTAATTTTTTATTTCGTTGTTGAGATTTGCTGCCATTTGTGCCCATAACTTATATAAAGAAAATGCTAACATGCCATCCATGTCTTCCTATTATCTCTCTATGGAAAATGGAAGAGGCATGGTGGTGTTCCTCCAGCACTCAAACCTACCAGAACTCTTTTGGAACACACTCAGGGGAAATACTCCTGAATTTACACTACTTTACACTGATTAAGGCTCATTAAATTATCAGGAGATTAACACTGGTGTACTACAAGTATATTACAAAAATTAAGACTTTAACAGTTGACTTTTAAAATCATCTCTGTTCCTGCTCTTGGGGTACAGAATATATTTTCTTCCCAGATGCTGGCAAATCACTTAAAGAGATCCATATACTTCAAAATTATTTTTTGTTGCTTATGATCACATTTTTCTTATGTCATTTACTTGAAGCAAGTACTGGCTTGTCACATAATCAGCTCACTTCACTTCTACTGACCTTCCAAAATAGGAATAGCTACATTCACATTCTCCCACTCTCTGCCTCTGTTTAAATCTTGAAACTGTAACTTCCTATGGTCTTGTGTTAGGTTTGTTTCTAACTATAATTCGATGAGCAGTCCCGATCTCTCCTCACCACATCTGACTGTTATGCAGAGAGAAGAGACTGTATAACTTTACTCAAGGGTCTTTTCCTTTTCTCCTAAGCCAGTGTGATCTACATGTAACAAAACTGAATCTGCCTGCCATGTTTCTACTCAAGTCAGTGCTTGAAGGGGATCTGGATTCACTTTCATACCTTTGAGCCTTCAATTATCATCAGATGGAGGGTGCACCAATAATCATGGACGGGAAGAAACCTACTGCAATTCAACAGTGATTGGAATTTGCTAACTGAAAGTCCAGCCCCTTATAACAGCTTACTGCAGAATTTACTGAGAACGAATGAAACCAGCAGCCTGGGAAAGCTGTAGATTCTAAGTTAAAAGAGCGTGAAGAAGAAACAATATGCACTCTCTTAATGCTGATATATCCTGTATCAATTTCTGAAAACTATTACTCACTCTTTTATCCCACATTGTTTCCAGAAACATTATAGTTTTCCTCAGCCTGCTTCTCTTATTTCTCTGCATTTGCTTTTGCCAGGTGCCTCATTTAATCCATTTTTTGTCAGCCCTTTTCACTCTGCTTGCTTAATGTCCTTCTCTGCCTGTTCATGACCTAGATTCCATTAAAATTATGTTCACAGAAAGAACTATCATGTGGTACTTTCAAGTTAAACATCACACAAAATAAACCTCAGGTCTAAATTGAGTCCAGACCACAGACTCTGATTTGAACACTGATAAACTAAAGTCTCTGTGTTTGAGAAGAGCTCAAGTTTCTCTTCTGGATTATTGCCCATCTCCAGTTTTTGATGTTTGCTGTTGTTCAAGAAAACCAAGATTTTAGCTGTTGCTATTATCAAAATGTAACCAACAATAAAAAACAATGTAGAATCTTCACAGAGCACACCATGCGAAAATTACTACATTTGTTCATCTAGTATATATTTTAACTTGTAACTTCATAAAGTAGGTAATTTATTCCAGCTTGACAGTTACTATAAAATATAAGCATCATGAAACTTTAGAAAAGTGAAGAGACAGTCTCCAGTAGTGCAATTCACATCTGTACAGAAGTATGACATCAGCCCCAATAGCTTATCCCAGCTTGGTGCTAGGTAAGTAGTCAACAGGGATTTCTATCTACATGGTTCTGAAATAGTAAAATCATTTCTGTAGCCATTATTAATTACACATAAAGAAATAATAAAAAAAATAAAGCTCCTAAATGGATCTTTAGTTTTAAGATTACAGTGATTGTGGTAGATAAACCTAATTACTGATATAATTCTACCTTCCCAAAGACCAATCACAAAATACCAGAACAGTTCAAATATAAGAATTTCCCTTCCCGTCCCCCACTATAAAAAATGCTACAAGACTAGAGAATTTTCAAAAATGCTTCAGATTTCATTTTTTCTTTCTTATAGTTCAGTAGTCCTTTTCACATCACTTCAAAGAACCAAATAATATATATGAATTAAAAAATTAGCTGACATATATAAACAAATAACACTGGTTATACTGCGATTTGAAGCACATTTTGCTTCTTTATATTTCACTATAGAGAAGTATTAAATATTTTCATAAAATGATTCACTGAAGAGCAAAAATTGATTTTCTTAAGGCTGTGCAGTATTTCCAAATATAGTTTAATGGAACCATAGTATGGTATGGGAAGCGATCTTAAAGACCATCTCCTTCCTCTCAATACCTCCATGGGCAGGGACACCTTCCAGTAGATCTGGTTGTCTAGAGCCCCGTGCAGCCTGTCCTAGAGCACTTCCAGTAATGGGAAACCTTTTTCAGTACCTCACCACCCTCACATTGAAGTATTTTTCTTTATATTTAATTTAGATTTAACCTCTTATAGATTACATTAGCCCTTGTTCTATCACTACCCTCCCTAATACAGAGTCTCTCCCTGTTGTTCCCCCTTCAGAGCTGTCAATCAGACTTTGTTAATCCCAATTTATTTGCTAAAGCTGACTTTTTAGAGTTAGAACATAGACACAAAACATGGCAAGAGTGGTTTGGAATTTGACTGCTGACATATCACTTGACTATTGACAGTTCAAACGGGTTTGGAGACATAATCAAGAAATTTCACCATGAGAAATGATCAGAAAGTAAGGGTTCAGAAAAAATTTACTGGGAAAAAAGATAAAAATAAAAGACTAATTGTCTTAACCTTCTACATGCTTGTACTTACCAGGCAGCTGCCGAAGCCCACCATCCTAGATGCAAAATATCTGCTATTGTAGGCTGGGAAAAAAGAACAAGATTATTATTTATATAAACAATTCCACACTTTTAAAGAAATGTCAGTTGCCTCATAAGGTACTACTGACCACATAAGCCGAACGAAGTCCAGCTCCTTGCTTTGGTTCTTCTTCAGGATCACAGACTGACTGATAGTCATACGACTTGTTAAAGGCATACAGGGACATGTTAATTAAGTTTCTCATCAAGCCCGGGTCAATTTCACCAAAGAATCTTCCAATCTGATGAAGAAGAATATATAGAGATAAGTTAAAGTATTACCAAGTAGTTTTTGTACAGAAAAGTAAACAATGCTGTTACTTATTCTTTATTTTATTTTCTCTAGGGAGACTCATTCAATTGTGCCATCTGTGATTTTATTTCTGCTTGAAGGTAACTGTTTCAATAGCTTGATTGAGAACTCAAGTTAGGAAGTTATCATTAAATACACTACTACTAAATGAGACTACCACAGAAAGAAGAGAAAGGCATGTAGATGCCATACTACTTGCCCTCTTCACCATTTATTCATCCTCTTCACCAGTTTTATTCATCCATCTGTAGACCTATCATTCTAAAGGCAGAGCACAAATAACACTGCAGAAGTGTAGCACCTTAAACCATAAATAAAATTGTGAATAATACTAACAAAATAACTGGAATTCCTCATTTTTTATTTTATTTTTTTTTTTTTTCCCCAAAAGTGTATTATAATTGCTGAACAAGTCTTTAAAACTCTGATGGGCATTGTAAATATACTTAGAAAAAAAAATTGCAGTATTAGGGTGAGTTGAGAAATAAATGCTACTTTTTTATTGTAAAACATCTCCCTGTTGTGTTTCAATTACAGTACTCAAAACTATGCATACCTGTTGGGTATATTCATCCCGATTTGACATCAGAAGAAATCCACCATCATCAAGGATAACACAGTCCACATGCTATTATAAGAAAGTAAAATACGTTTTGTAGAAATGATTTGTCAAAAGAAACTTCTTTATCCTACACTTCAGATACATCTTCAAACCTATGTGGCCAAATCACAACCTCATAGCCAAGGGCCAATATTATGCTAAAATAAGTAGCATTATCAGCATTATAAAAGTTTGAAGAAATCAAAAGCCTATTTGTGACTTAATTTCATAGAAGTTGCTTGTAAATTCTTATTCACTCAATCCTTTGTTAGCTGTAAGAGGTAAAATCCATGTTAAATCAGATGGTAATTGAACCTGAGCTCGTAATAAGGGACTACAACTTCTAGTGTACTTTCAGCCACATGTAAAATCTTTTACTATTTGCAGCCTCTAAAAGTAAAGGTCCTAAAGGCAGATTCTGAGCTTGCTATTTGAGATTAATTTCACATTTTTGTATATTCCATGCTTGCCTACTTAGTTCCTTCCAGGTGTCAGGTGCAGGGCTGGGAAGCCCACTGGTTCCCTGTATTCTTTCAGCCACTTTCAATCGGAGATTAAGGAGATAGCGGTGAGGCCCAGAGTACCCTTTTTCAATGTAACCCATCCATTTAACATTCTTCTAACTCCACAAAAGATCTCAGAGAAGGCCTTAACAGAGAAAGCTTTTAAGCATATGGCAGAATCTGATACTGCAATAGTTGCTGAAAATGTGTTCTCCTGTGTGCCAGCAAAGTTATGGGATTCCCAAATCCTAAACGGGCAGGATAAAGAGGAAAGGAGGATGGCTAATCATTGTTGAAAAGTACATCACATACTCTGCTGCTTTTCAGTTTGTTTTTACCTTTTTCTCTAAGGTACCCCTCTTCTAGATTCTTTTCTTCTTTCTTTTTTTTTTTTTTTTCTGATTTGTATTCCCTCTCCTCTTTTAATTTTTGCCCTCTCCTCTTTTAATTTTTTCCTCAAGACACAAATCACTAGGTCTCATTTTCAAAACCCCAATCTTCAAAAAATATCATGAAAGAATAATGCTCAGTGCATCACTTATCATTATCTTACAGATATTCAAAAACTGAACATATTCTTACCATACTATTTTTTTCACAGCCACAGATTTCACTGTTGCACTAAAAAACAGAAAGACAGCAATCTTCACAAAAATGTTTCATAAGAAATTGTATTTTGCAGTGATATTTATCAATCAAGACAAGAAATGATGTGATTTTTGATATCTCTATATTAACTTACTTTAGGGATACTGTGTGTGTTATTTGTCACAAGTATATCAAAACAATCTGCATCCAGTAACTATCAACAGCACAATCACTACCGCCTTTCACAGCTCCTCTGGTCCATTTCCCGTTTTGAGAAGGCTTACAGTATTAGATAAAGAACTTCTTTCTATTACAGTTTGAGGGACTTCTCAAGATTTCAGGGTTGTGAATATAAAATACAAGAGAAAGAACACGTGTATTTGTAATCTTGTATTTTGTGTATGTTAATAAGGCCTAGAAAACATGATGCCAAGTATTTCTTTTAGACTGAATAGCTTCACTAATCTCAAAGTATGGAAATCTCATCTGACAAAGGAAGCCCACCATCTCCATTTAGTTTTGATTACTAGTACATTTCTGTTTTCTTGCAATATGTGTGTACACACACACTACTGATTCCTTGTATTATGTCCTGAGCAAAATAATCAGCAGATAATGGCAGAGTTATTCATATCAAACTAATTATGAGATGTTACTCTCTTTTGCATTATTTTTCTTTTCCTTAAGTGTTCTGACATTTTGGGCAATGCATTTGCCTACTCATTGAACTATAGCTCTAATATCTCATACAACAATCATAGACACTGATATATATATACATATATATCCCTTAATATAGAACCAACCAATCAAAATTGCCTCATCCAGTTGTTCCATAACTATCTCCTTTTTATGCCTCTTCCCAGTGTACTACTTAGGTTTACCTTTTTTGTTTACCTTAACTTTTAACTTTTTACTTTTAACTTTTTAACTTTTTTTTTTTGTTAATTTTTTACCTTAACTTTTAACCTTACCTTACCTTTTTTGTTTTTGTTTACCTTTTCCCTCAATTTTTGTTTTTCTCCTTCACACTTAAGCATAGAATGAGAAATGAAAGGGCTGAAATCCTGTGGTGTTGACTGCAATATAAATCCTTCATGCTTACACTTCCTCCACATTAAATTAAAAAAAACAAAACAAAACAAAAAAACAACACACACCTTACCACCCCTTTTTTTTTTTTTTTTTTTTTTTTTTTTTTTTTTTTTTTTTTTTGTGAGGGGAGAGGAAATTCTTTTGCAGGTTTTATTCACTAATAGAGAATGATCATAGTAAGCCGCCTGCAGGCTCGAGTATGACATTTTTCTTTGTCTTTATCCATGATCTATAATTATGAAAGCAAGACACGTACAAAATACAGCCTGTTTCAACATAGATGTATTTTGTGCATTTGGATGATTTAAATACCACAACTACTTGGCAAACATGCATCAGTCTGACTCTGGCACAAAAAAAGCTGTTAGACTTATTTGCATCTGAAACTTTGAGAAATGAACATAAAGTTCAAAAAAGACTTGGTCAATTGCTTACCAGGCTCTTGATTGTGGTTTTTGTGAAATTTTCCATCCATCTGGTTACATCAATTTTTATTCCAACAACTAACAAGAAATACATGAAAGACTTTTTTAGTAAAATGAAAAAGCAAAAAGGTAACTGTAGAATCCTAAGAAGAGAGAAAAATTGTAAGAGCATCTAAATTATTAAACTGGAAAAGGAAAAAAAATATGAGTTTTGCTCAGTTGTCTGATCCCCAACATCCTTCATAAGACTAACAAATGTAAGTACTCTTTCTCAAACACAACCAGATCTCTTGATTTCCACTAGTAAGATTAAAAGTCTTAGAGAGAAGAGTACTATAGAAACTGAAACTCCTTTGAAACCGCCATTAAAATTTAACCTTGAGCAACAACAAAGTAACTCCTGTATTTAGAGTTTTAGCACCATTTTAGCTTACCTGCAGGTTTCAGAAGTTTTCCATTAATTGTTATTTCCACTGCCTTGCTTACCATAATACCTGATTCATAGCTATTGGCACCGGTTTCTGACAGTATGTTTGGAGGAAGAAAGAAAGAATTAGAATGAGATATAAGTTTCTTCTTTTGTAATTGAAATTAAAGATGGTTCAAATATCAAGAACAAATCAAAGAATTCTTATTTGAAAACCCTGACTCAATCGTACATTGTATTTCTCACTTGTAATTACTCAGACCACTAACACCTAGATGATTAAGAGAAATACTCATTTTTAACTTCCTTCATGTTTAGTACACGATCTTTGCACAAAGTCACTGTAGCCTTTCCTGTACAAACACGGCCATGATAATGGCTCATATGAGAGCAGCTCTGTTAAAACTAGGATCAGAGCCAAAGATTTTATCCTGCTGTTGTCTGTGTTTTTCAATACAGAATATACTGTCGCCACTCACTAATGACAATTACTACTCTGACAGACTTCAGCCTGTTTTCAACACTGCCTAGTATGAAATAGCAAGCTAAAAGTACATTACCTGGAGCTCTTTGAGGAACAACAAAGGCTTTGGGGAATTTATTTAATAACCTTGTTAACGTTTTATTGAGAAAAGATGTAATAAATACATGTGAAATAACAGTAATAAAAGATCCCATATGTTTAAAAGGGGGAGTATGTCATTTGTAGTAGCATCTGCTTTTAGATCAGCTTGGCAAGGTTAATGCTGCTTATCAGTAACAAGCACTTACTATTGTGCACATACAGGTTTTAAATATCACAGTATTTCAGAAGAACTATTTTTGGTTAGTAATAGTGATTTGAAAAATGATTTAAAAAAAAAAAAGTATTAGTTTAAGCAGTTCAGTGGACAATTGTAGACTCCAGATACCTGCTCCCCTATATCTGAGAAAATACACAGAACTCAGCTCAAATACAGCATTTAAAGCAGTGTTATTCTTCAGTTTTAAATAATTCTGCCAAAGCAACTTTGGAAACCATTTTTCCAGTCTAATAAATGAAAACAAATACGCTGTGTATTCTCTCAGTTTTATCTCAGTTTTGTTAATTTTTTTTGCATACAGGACCATCAGTGTAGATAACAAATTATTATGTTCTTTGTTAAGTGCTTCCCCAGCGATCTTTTCCTTAACAATAGGTGACATCCCAAGATTTTTTCTTTTTCAAGTGTTACACTTGCAACCTTTGTCACTGAGCTCAACTGGCACAGGAAACTTCCAGAAATATTCTAGTATTACACTAGCTAGCTCTGGACTTTTAGTAGAGTGATGACTTACTGTTGTAGTATGGAGCTGTGAAAATATAGTTGTCATTATCTAAACTTCGTTTATAGAAACTGACTTCATAAGTTTCTGCATTCTCCAACCAATCTTCTCCTGCCCTAATCACAAAAACAAGCAATTAAAAAAAAAAAAAAAAGGATGGTTAGTATCTCATTAATGCTGTGCTGCACAGGCCTATCTTCTTGTTTTTGTTTGTTTTAATATTTCACAGTTGTAGATAACGTGAGATTCACTTATATAGTTATCAGACTTCATTAGCATCAGCTGGTTAAGTGCCAGAAGTAAAACATAAAGTTGAAGGAAAAAAAAAAGAAAAAGTATTATTGGTACAACATGGACCTTCTCTTATTTTTAGCTGCACTGAGATAAATATAACTGCAGCACTATTTTACATCAAAATATAAACAAACCTTGATACCACATGCTATCTTAAGAAAACAGTATCCCAAAAGACTTTAAAACATGAATAACACCAGAACAAAAAAATAAACTGATCTTGATAGTAAAATCAGTTTTGGGGAAACACAGACTAGCCTATGAAATCAGGTAATTTGCCATTTACAGCATATCTGTATCTATACTCTTACTATTGCTTGTCAACAAAGGGAATACTTAGGTGATTATATATATACTTTAGCATTCTCTTTTCCCCCTGGCAACTTAAGTCCCTGAACTATTCAGTATGATTCTGTTAGTCTGAAAAAAAAAGAAAAAAAAAAAAAAAATCATTTACTGCTCTACAGTGCAGACTGCCAGCTTATCAAACAAATGAATGCTTAGGAATAATTAGGAATTAACATGGTTGCACTATCAGCACATGGGTACTTTTACTCCTTTACACTGATCTGGTTACAGATGAGTTTCAAACAATGATATAAGTAAAATCAAAGAAAAATCATCTAATTTATTGTATAGTTATCAGAGCAGGTTTAAACATTTTCATTATCACCTTACACTCTTTCATAGTAACAGTTACCTTTTGGGGAACACTCTGGTAATTCCACCATCCGTAACAACAAACTGCGCAACAACTCCATCACTATAAACAAAAATAAGATTTAAAGTAAAAACTGAAGTTCTCTTAAGTTCAAGGGTACATAATCATGATTTAAATATCTATCCTGTGCAAGGATTAACTGTGTATCTCTATATATGCATATGAATTACACTGTTAAGAGATCATGAGAAAGATTATGCTTTTTTATTTTTCAGGCTTCTTGTTTGTTTTTCGACTCCAAAATTCATTAAAAAAAACCAACAACGAACAACAACAACAAAATAATCAACAGAAAGAATACTTACAGATACAGTTTACTCCAATAATTCTGGGCAAGTTCATTTGTAAATCCTGCATCCAGCAGAACTCTAATGACCATATCAGTATTACCTAGTAAAAGAGTCAAGACACTCATCTGAAAACATATGACATGGGGCTTAAGCAATTAAATTAATTAATTAAAGAATTAAATTCTGAGTTGCTAAGATGCTATCACCACTGAAATTAGGCTCTTTCTATGGTCATTTTGACTAACTTCAAATTATGTCAAATATTGCACGTTAAACAAACTGCTCTGAAACTCTTGATTTTGCTTAAGTTTTTCCTATATTGAAATCTAAAAACCAGTGTTTTACCAAAGAAATAAGAAAATAATTTGTAGCATCAGATCTCACCTTTTCAAGGCCACTTTTTTTTTTTTTTTTTTTTTTTTTTTTAAATAAACTTATTTTTAAAGCATTCTTTCATTCAAAAACTTTATATTCCAGTTTGAAAAAGTTCCAACAAAACATTTAAGTTTTACTGAATACTTACTCTCTTACATGTTACAAAAGCAGAGATAATCACCACAATAAAAATATATTTAAATTAGTCAAGTCCCAGCTTAAAAAAAAAAAAACAAAACACACACACACACAAAAAGCAACAACAACAACAACAAAAAACCAGAAACAATAACAATAAAAAGACACAACTATTTGTCTTCTTTTAAATTAGTGGCTTAGATGGATATATTGTTTTTAAAAATCTTTCAGTAGATGGCTTGAAGTCAGTCCTTCTCAATCATACTTTTTAGTATAATGTAAAAAAAATAAAACTAGGAACGCTCAACTAAAGTAAGCATGCAGTCTACAGATTTAAATACAGATTTAATATTTAATCAATACTGAAAATATTATGGAGCTGAACTGTAACTGAATAATGTAAAGGGAAAATCTGGCTTTTGGTCTTTCATTTCATACAGCAAAACAGAGTTAGAATTTTTACTCAAACCCACAGCTCTGAATTCTGCAAAATTCCAGATACTCAGCTTTTGAGAGGAGACTGAACATTCCCGTTTAGTTATTTTGTTATATAAGCTGACAAGAAAATAAGCATCTTGAGATGCTCTTTGACTGATATGCTCAAGAGGAAAAACTATCAATTCGAAATATTTGGAGTGTAGTAAAATAAATAGTTGATTGCTTCATAACATAATTCTGAAGGGAAGCATGCAAAACATGGGATGCATAATGCCCTGCAATCATTCTTAAATGAACCTATAAAACTCCAAACTAATTTTGCAGTCTATCTTGGATAAAAAAGTCGAACACCAGATGTATTCCTATTTTTAAAAAATTCAGAGATTAAAAAGAAACAACAATGTGTGATTTGGGCATACAAGCCTTCAGATCGACTAATTCTCACCTATGAGTAAGTATTATTTATAAGAAAATCAATGAATTGAAAAGAGTACTTACATGATGGACTGCTTGGAGTATTTCTATCAATAAACTCATTGAAATTTAATAAAAATTCAGTGTTGTTTTCCGATTTCTTTACATCAGTACAATATTCTCTGAAAAACAATAAAACATCAGTCTTTTCAGATTTGTTTTGTATGTTTCTGAAGCAGATCAGCAATCTGAAAGTCCAAGGAGGACCGTGCTGCTACTATGAACTGGTTGGAATCATTGCTGTAGTCCTGATCATAGTCAGCATTTCAGGAAACCAGGGTTCAGGAGCCTGCCTAAATCTGAATTACCATGTATTAGATAAGGCACAGATCTCAGGAAAAAAAAAAAACACTCCAGACTTGTACAGAGTCTGTAAACTAAACAAGGAAATGCCCAGTGAAATTATACTCTACTGGGATAAACTGGAAAGTATGTGGACTGCTGTTGGAGACACTGTCACTTTATGTTCAGCTAACACTGGATTTACGTGCTGAGATCCTATCTTCTGTGAAGTCTTAAAGGCAATTTTAATAAGGTTCACACCCCATACACAGAAATGGTTTCTATTTTGACATATGCAAACCAGATGAACATTTAAACTACTGTCATTTTCATAATGATTGAAAGCAGTATATCAATGTGCAATTCACTGAATAGAAGCAAGCACAATAAAAGTCACCGGGCATTTTCAAGACAAATGTTTAATGCCATTTACCATTTAATAACTAATTAAAACGTAGAGAACATTCAGCAGTCAAGCCAGGAGTCCAATTTTTAACAGAATTATCTATATTAAATTAACTTAATGACCAAAAGAAGCCTGAGTATTTTAATATTTACTTATTTTATCATTAACCTTAAGGGTTACAGGCATAATTTGGTGTATTGCGCCAACATTTGCATTTAAAGAAAGCTCCATATTAAACAGTTTTTTCACGTAGATCAGTTTGACAACTCAAGACTTTCTGGAAACTGCTAATTGGTACAACTGATCATCAATAACTTCGTCCATTAGAAAAATTTAAGTTATTCTGAAAACATGTTTGAAGGTAGAAGACTGTGTCTTACATGTGTCTTACATATGATTCAACCAAGAAGAATCTAAATTTAAAAGGATTGAGAATTATATAAGATAAAAGAAGAAATGGAATAATTTTTTAAACACCTTTGTGGCATTTACAATAATTAACTTCCAAAGGAACTTAATTTTTCAGTGTTGTTTCTCTTATTATGCTTCCTAAGTAAACACATAATTACAAAGGCAACCAAGACTGCACAATTTCACAGGAATAAAAAGAAGGAACTAACAGACTCAATCAGTTTTCAATGACTCTATCAAAATCTATGTTCAATGAATCAAAAATTAATTAATCCTTAAGTGATGGAGAGCTTTGAAGCTCTTCTTTTTGAACTGAAAAAAAAAAAAAAAAAAACCAAACCCAAAAAACAACCAAAACCCAAACCAAAACAACAAGAAACAAAACAAAACAAAAACCAAGGTAAGTATTATGGTAGCTATTCTATAAAAGAAAAGCTAGAGTACAAAGCAATAAAATCTTAAAAGATGCAGCTATGAGAAATGGACAGATGTGTAAAAGACTTCCATTAAAAACATCAATATATGATGACATATCAGATTTTACGGCTCCCTTCATTTAATACAAAAATGAATGAAAGTCTGAAGATGCTGTCTACCAAGTAGAAAAGCCTGATCTTTAAAAACATGAATTTACTTTTTCTCTTTTTACAAATTTTCATTTGTCAAATCTGTTTCTTTTTAATATCTTTAACCTGATCAAATTCCTATTTATTGCTGAAATAATACTACTGGGAAATTAACCAACCTTGGTGCTATAAACGTATAGCCAGCTTCATCAAAATGATCAAGCTTCAGTGTTTCTGAATCTACAAAGATGAACAGAGAAATCAAGTAAGCAAATGACTTATCAATATCCTTCTCAAATATTTGACTAGCTTTTGCATGCATTTGTGAAATAAAAATGTTCATTTTGCACACTTTCTTACTAATATACCACATACTTATCATTATTTCAAAGTTTAGGAAGAAATTATTTGATTTTTATATGCAACACACACTTGGCTACAATACTATATCTAACAACCTAATTAGAGGTGACATTTAATTAGCGTGAAATTTTGTATTACATTAGAATTACAGTCTGATACAAATAAATGCTTGGGACAAAGATTTGTTAGAACATGAAAAACGCTCATAGAGCTGTTAGCCATAATGTTTGAAAAACCTTGCCTAGGTAAACATCACTTTCAGCGCTACCTGAAAATAATGGCTTCTAAAGTTGGCATTACTGAATACCATGTGAAAGGACCAGACAAACAAGGAGTAGAGATCAGCAACATACTAAAATATGTATGAAAATAGAAAACCACTTAGCAACTTTTTTATTTTCTATTGCTGTGGTACCCAATGGGAAAAGTCCTGAGATGAAGAATACAGAGGAGAATGCCCAGTAGGAATAGAAATACAAGTGAAAAATTTCAACTGCAGTAAACAGAAGGAAATTGAGCAACAAGAATATACTTGCCCTTATTGATTGCCACTATCCATCAGAAAGAGAAAGCAGGGAAACAGAAAAAAACAGGGTAAAGCAAAAGGGGTCACAAAACAATATTTTATTCAAACAATCCCTTGAATAAAAATATTGTGCATAGAAAGATCAAAGGTTCAATTTATGTACAGTTTTAGTCTGGAAAAAAGACAAACATCTTTAAACAGTGGAGAATATGTCCTCATCAATCACTTCTCAAGTACCTTCTGTGCTAGCCACCATAGTGGCTGTTTCAAGGGTCTGTTCTGCAGGTTATATTCATGTAAGTATAAAACCAGATTATCTAATCCATAAAAAAAATCCCTGCATTCACTCACTAAAACTTTAATTTTAAACTACTTATGGTATGACAAAGTCATGAAAACAAATCTCTGATTATTAAAAACTTGCTTTAATCTTCATACCCAGGAAGCGAAGGTAGAGAACACTGATTTAGTGCTAGTCAAGTTTTCTCTAAACTACCAGTTTATACCTGTCAGAGAGATTCACAGCTATTCAAACCTTAACTGCACATTTTTACAAAGGATGTGCTGAGTTCTATTTTGTTTACAATCTAGGTTACTACGCAAATCCACTAGTTAGATCTAGTTAGCTACATCTAATGAATGAAAAGCTTTTCAATACTCACAAGTATAATTCCCTATTACCTCTCCAGAATCTGTAAATGACTTGAAATTAGTCTGATAAAAAATATATACATTACAAACATCCACTAAAGCTATCTTTAGAATGCAAAACAAAAACCTAGCTGCAAGCCAAATGAAACAGTGCTTTTACATTTATCTATTTCTACAGGCATCAGATGTAATTTGCTAAATATGATACTGCTACTACTGTAAGTAAAATAAAATAAGCTTTAGTACTATAGTCCATATTCTAGTATTTAGCTAATAGAATGAAAAAAATGTTGTCCAGACCCTTAAAAAGACAGCAACAGAGGATACACAAAGCAATGATTCTATAGGTACATAGCAAGGGGAAAGGGATTGTCAGTGAAACTGGGGTACCTGCACATATTCTATCTTTATAGAATATTTCTTGTACCTTGGATGTTACAATGAATTAGAATCATTGCTCCAGATTTTGGGTACATTATGATAACATTAGTGAATTCAAAAGAAATTATGAATTTTAAACATTGTTTGTTTGTTTTTTCAGTGAATCCGAGACTTGGCAATACTTGACAAAACCAGGGAACCTTCATAATACTTACATCTGGCTTGAGTTATTGGTTCTTCTATTTTAGCTTTGATATAATAAAAGCTGTATGATGGTAACACCAATGCCAAACTGCAAGAGAAACAAGATAAATAAAACAATTGTGTTATTTGCAGCCATGTTGTAATTTCAGCTTCTAAGTGTTTTGAAACCTTTTAAGAAGTTTGGAAATTGGATCCTTATGCGATGAAATAGTTACATGCAGACATAGCAGTCTCATACTTTGTAATAGGTACAGGTAGGTACAACAATGTCAAACAGTCAAAAGTCAAGCATTTAGGCATAAAATGCACTTCCTTCAGGGATAAGGGACAAATTTTGGAAAAAAAATTGCAAATAATAAAAATCATGATTTCTTTCTATAATGCATTTCACATTGCCTTTTAGCACAAGTCAACATGGAGATCGACTGTAAAAAACAGCATATAATACTGCACTCATTTGCATGCAGCATATGACAAACTGAAAAAAATAAAACACCTACTGGCATACATTAGGAAAAATACCTAGTGGTATTTAAATTCACTTTACATTCAAGCCATACAACATTTTTCAGAATCATGAGGTCACTTCTAATAACCTTTGAACATCACACTGCAATAATTTAAGATTTGCAATGCAAAGGATTTCTTTTATTTCACATATACTTTTCTTGAAAACAAACGCATAGAAATAAGATCCCTTCTTGCCACTAATTCTATACACATGTAGAAGTGAGAAGTGCTCAGTTTTAAAAAAGGTATGTAAACGACAAGAGGTGTAAATCATCATTAGAGAGGTATCATCTCCCAGATTGCATTCTTACTCAGTTTTTATAAATGCAGAACTGCCGTGGTTTCTAATGCAGAAATTAACATTAAAAAAGAAGTTGTACAATTGTCCATATATGAGATGACCTTTTATGATACAGTCTGTTTAAATGGCAGATGTAAGTGAGAGCACTGCATATTTAGTGATAGCCTTCCATGAATTCTCCTCTAGGGAAATCACTTGCAGTTTACTTGCCATTAGCAGTTACTGCTAACAGAAAGAGCTAATTAAAATCTATAATTTTATGTGTAATAGGCTTGCTGCATTGCGACTCCATGGATTTATTGCTGAATCTCAAGCAAGGGAGCTTGAATTTAAGAATGCATGTAAATCAAACACAATTCTTTACCAATTGCTAGATGTCATACCATGATAAAAAAAAATCCTCTTTCCACTGAATGTAATATAGAAGTAGTAGAACATAAAAAATGGAGTAATGAAAAAAAGATAAAATGTTATATCTATGTTCACTTGTTAAAACTGCTTTGTTTTGTTTTGCTTACAAATTCATGTTTGCATTCATATTGGCTGTACACTTGTATAGAATATAGCAGAAAACCAGCTCAGATGAGAACTGCTGTAATTTATCAGAATAAAAATATTATTTTTATTATCAAAAATAATATATTAAAAAAAAGTTGACTCAGTATTTGTACCATCTAGATAAATCTGTGTGATTAAGTGAATCTGAAATGATACACACAACAATGTTGCATTCAAGGGGGACAAGCTTTTACAAAACCCTTCACTTGGTCCTGCTGCCATTCATATGTGACTTTCAAATACACAACAGTATTGGTGCTAATTAGTTAAAATTTGTCACAAATGGATATAGATTTCAGAGAAAATCAGTAGTACAGTTCCTGCCCCTAAGACCTGGCAGGTAGGTTAGCAATGTCATGATATAAGCAACATCAACTGTAAGAGATTCGCATTGAACAATATGCTCCATTTTTTATTTGGATGAAAATATAGCATCTTTCTTCTAATATGCATATTAAAAATAAGAACACGGAGGCAAGGCAAAGAAATTATAAAATAAGAAGAGGAATCTAAGAGAAAGTGTACAATTAGGAAGCAAAGTATGTAACGATAAAGAAAGCAGGAGAAAATAAGATTCAACCATAAAAGCCTCTTTTTCCTGCATGCTGACATGAACTAGTTGTTAATCTCAACAGTTTGCAAGAAGACTGAGGTGCTGGTCCTTATACAGAGTCACAATTCTGAGCTGCAAATGTTTAAAGGAATCCAGCAAATCCCACAGGTGAGATGACTTGTCCTGACTTAACTATTCTAGAAAATGTAACATAATAGATGCTAACCAAAATAAATGAAAAGGACATTTAACTACACAAAAATACACAAAAAGAGAACAGAGATGAGTTACCTGTAATCAGTGCCATTCACAGCCGTCCATGTATATGTTCGATTTCCTTTATCAATGTATCTCTATAAAAAATGTTAATGAAAAAATAATATATTAATTCCAAAGCTTCAAGAAACAGCTTTTGCATTGCAACATTACATTCAATGATAAAAGGTACATATGTCTATGCCCTTTCTTTCACTGTAATAAAACAAAAGTGTGAAAATGACCAAGGTAATGAAAAAGAGGTGTCTTTTTGACTTTTATGATTCAAAGCCATTTCATTACTTGGTTGCTTCTTTTCAGTAGAGCATGATAGGGTAGATCACTTAGCCATTTGGGAAAAATAAAAAAAAATTAAAAATATGCACATATTAGTAGTGGCTGATGCCCTGGTATATTTTATATGTAAGGTAAAAGGCTGGGTAAACAGACACCCTTATAATCCTATTTATTTTTAATAATTTGACTGTACTATTACTTCAGCTCAAGAACAACTAAATACTTGAATACAACTCTAAATCATGCATAGTGCCATGGTTTGTAGATGTACATTGGCAATAGAAAAACTGTTCCCAAGGTGTGAAGGCAGGAAGAGAAGAACAGGGCTTGTATGAAGTGCTTCTACTACCAGTTCTTTGAGCATGCTTAAAGGCAAATTGAGAGCTCCCTCCAAAGACAACATTGCATATTAGATGTCCTCATATGTTTGCTCCTATTTACCCTTGCCTATTTTATTACTGAGCCATCTGATTCTATCTCACCCTAGATGGTCACTGCCAAAGAACCTACACATTATTTCAGTTCTTGTGATCCTTCAGTTTGCACTACTGCCTACCCCAGCAGCCCAAATGTGGCAATGCTTTTGTTTCTATGGCATCTTCTCTGTTAGTTGGAAAACCCCTGAGGCCCTGGAAGACTCCAGCACACCCCACCCACGCTTGCTATGAGTCCAGTTTCTATGTTGTACTTATGAGGTCATCTCCCAGGACACTGCTGGGGCCAGCTGCAATACAAAAGGGAAGCAATGCAAACTTAAACCAAAAAGCAAAAAAAAAAAAAAAAAAAAAAGGACATCAATTTCAAGCCTCAAGACTGCAACTGTCAGTACAGAGCAGCAGACCACATCAGCCATTTTTACAAGAAAATATATGAAGCTATCAAATACTAAGTGATGAGCAGCTCATGCATGGCCCAAGGTCTGAAGCAGCTTTATTCTGGCTCTAGCAGCCTAGAGCTGGGAGAATGCAATAGTTTGAAGCAGTCACCATTGCCAGCCAGCTCTGGCTGCTCCCTTCTCTCTAAGGGGTGCAAACAGAGGAAAAAATCTTGGTCCACGATGCAAGGTAAGTAGAGGGTAATTACTTTCATTTGGTTCTTGAAATAATTGGGAACAAAAAGCTTGAGATATTCTATTCAAATACAGTTTGTGGTCTGGGCTGTGCATGACTGACACATTTTCAGGCACCCAGGAACATCATGTTGCTCCTGATGCTGTAGCTGATGCCAGCATTTGCCCATGTGAATTTGCCCCTCCCTTGCTCTTCTGGTAAACTGCTGTAGGAATGACTGCTCTGGTCTTTTCACAATGCACCACAAAGTCTTAGAAATGCAGGCATGGCCTGAGATCTCTTTGCCATGAATGCAACTTCTTGTATAATTCCAGTGATGTTAACATAATTTTTTGACTGTTAATTTCTCGCTTTTCTGACCATTCATACAGAACCCCTTTTTTTACCCATAGACTTGGAAAGCTTCTCCTTAACCAAGCGAACAGCAAAGATCTATAAATGTCTGACATATCGTTGTAAGGCACCCCATTCAGGAGCAGTTTATCCCCAACACAGATTCCAGGTGAACTTCAGGCTCCTCTTCAACAGTGGGTCATGAAAAACAGGCTCCCTTCAGAGTAAGGGGACAAACCAGAGGCAAAGATGGGTTCACGAAACCAGAGAGGTAGCAGAACTGACATCAGATGGGGCTTATCCCCACTGTACCATAAAAGACCTATTTATTACCATCCTCCAATAGTGAAACTTCTCTACACAATGGCATTCCTCTACAGATTGTAAAGCCTTACTAAAGGGCTGGGATGGAGTCCTTCTTGCATGAAAGCACAGAGAGACGCCTAGCTGAAGGCATAGGGACTGCTAGTCCAGGCCTCTGCTTTAGATAAAAGGAAGAGTTGAAAAGCAGCACAAAGCTGGTACCAGAAGTAATGTGGGCATGTTGATCATGGGACTCTAAGTATAAGGACTGAATATTATGGGCGTGCTTTGCAGCTGGGCAATTTAAATATGTCAAGTTTGAGTTAAGTCAGCTTGTCTCAAAAACAGAAGTAGGAAAGCATCACTGCCATTTACATGGCTACTCGATCATCATTACCACCACTGCTCAGATAAAACTATCTACATTCACATTTGTCTGCCCCATTGAAGTGGAGTTCTCAACTCAAGAAGAGTCTATGAAGTTCTGCACTTTCTAAATAGGGTATCAGAAAGAAGATCAGGCACAGCACAGAGTCACATTACCTAGACTCTGCAGTATAATACACAGAAGGGTTGTGTACTATCTGTCTGATATTTTCTTCATATTCTTGTGATAATTCATTACATCAGCTATCTTCAAGATGTTTTACACTCTTTGCAACAGCCTCAAGTTTTAGTTTTAGAACTGTAACTGTGGGGCACACTCAGGCCATATTTGCTCTTCTGGCAAACCGATCATTATTTCTTCTCATCAAAGTTCTAAACAATAAAGGTATACATGTGAGGATCCACATCATATTTCAGTATTTCCTATTGCTACAAAATATATCTATCTTATTAGAGAAACTCAAAATGATCTGTCAGGAGTGAAGATTTTGGACATGAAATTAAAAAGAATTCAACAAGCACAAGATCAGAAAGCAAAATACACAGGACAGCTTTAAAACGAGTTTGCTTATCCCAAATAGGCCTCATTTGTGTCATATAAATGTTAATTTCTTTCTCACTACTTTATCTATTAAACTAAAATATAAACCATGAATCTGCTTCTCAAACATGTCTCTAAATAAATTAAGTACTTGGTTTTGAGTTTTACATACAGGAGCAGGCTGGGTCTACTTGGTGAACAGAGTACAAGAGCTCATCAACAACTGCCTGATTAATGATGTATCAAAGAAATCAACAATCAAAACAATTCTCTTTCATAAATACATTATTTCTTTTAATCTAATACAGTGAAACAAAAACCTTGGGGGAAAAAGAAAAATGTAATATCAGCTAACATAAAAAAGTAAACTTCTTTTCACCATTTCACTGTATTTTGATATTTTTGTTTGCTTCTGTAAATGTGTTTCTGAAATGCTTCTGTCTGTGTTTCTGTCTTACCTCATCCTGGGACTTGACCAGAGTTTCAAATGTTTTTTCTCCACTTTCTCCGTCTATCATTTTTTTTCGAATCTATTGGCAATAAAAAATAAATTAAAAAACTAAAAACTAGGTATTGCATATAACATGATTAATTTCTCAGTGATTGCAAGTACTTTATAGATACACAGAAAATAGTAATGCATTTGGAGTCACAACTACTAATTCTTTTTAAAGTTTTCTACATTCAGGTTTTTTTAATTAGAAGTTGCTTAACCAGAATTTGTACTGAATTAGTAGACTTATGAAATAATAGTTGTATACTTTGCTTATGAAGACAATCTCATAAAAACATTTGATGTTTTGTAATAGGGAGAGTATGAATTCTATATGAATATCTTCCCTAAAACTACAACTTAATAAAGAAGACTGAATAAATGTTATTTAAATAGTAATGATAGTAAATTCCAAAAATGAGAGGAATATTACATATTGTCTTAAGAATAATACTGGAGTGAATTTGCAGTAATATTTCATTGTAATTTAATTACTTTATAAGGTCATAATCTTGAGAAATTTTAAATCGATTCTCTTTTGGCAAAATAGATTCCTGTTCAAAATCTATAACATGTATTTCTTCTCAGGTATTATACAGTAAAATATAAGCAGCAGCAGGTACTAAGTAACCAGTGAATCTCACCTCAACTTTAATATCATTTTCCAGTTCAGCATCTAGAAAATCCAGTGTTACTGGCTCCTGGGATTTAGGATTCTGAAGCAGAAGACATTAAATAATCAAATAATAAAGACTGAATACTGTAATGTTACAGAGTGGTCCCTAGAAATCATTCTAATCCCTTCATTTTTAAATAAGCTACTTAACTGGGCTTACTTACCATTAATTTTTATCTCTTTTAGCATGAAGAATTATGTCTTTGTCATTTATTTTATTTCATTGAATAGAGAGACTAAGAGAGCAAGAGAAAATCAGATTATCCCTTACAACTAGTGGTTTTCCACTGTCTGTCAAGCAGGGGGTTCCTGTTAGGAAGTTGCTTCCCCTACTGCTGGTTTGCCACAGTAATGTGAGACAAGAAGTGTCTGGGGAAGCCTAGAGATGAATATTCCATTAGGCATCCTGACTCTGTGAAGGGAAAGCTGGGAGACCTTTCTACCTGACCAGTAACATGGGACAACTGCACTACTTTGCAATTCTGCCAAAAGCAAGAGTGCAGACTCGCTGTTTTGAGGTGGGAATAGACCATTTCAAGACTCAAAGGGGCAGCCATTGTAACAAAGGATTTACTATAACAAAATACGAATAACTTTTATTGTGAGCATTAGAGAATTTCCCTGAGCACCTGGCAGCTTTGAATGCATTTCTCTTGACTGCACTCTTCATTTAAGAGATGGAAACCTACAGCAGAGAAATTCTGTGACCTGGCACCTTTAAGACCCATGGAGGCTGTGATGCTCACTACCCACTGTGATGCTAATCAGCACAGAGAAGTTAGTGGTGTGCATCTGCCATATTGTTCTGGTACTGGGTCCAGTCCTGCTGAACTAGCTTCAGCAACCCAGCAGGCTCTGCTCTCTTCCCCATTGCAGTTCCCATTTAAATGAACAGAGCTGTCTTCCACATAAACTCTCAGGAATCTGACTATTGTTTTTATTTTATTTTATTTTATTTTATTTTATTTTATTTTATTTTATTTTATTTTATTTTTCTTAAAGGAATTTTAGCTAAGTCCTTTAGATTTTGTATTGCAGCCAAATATAATTAACTAATCTTACATATGGTATAAAAATCCTCATTATCATCACTCAGTTAATACATCCACTTAATGAAGGATCTTTAGAAGTAGCTTAGAATTTTTTTTATTATTTATTATTTTATTATTTATTATTATTTAACCATTTAAATCTGATAGTTTAAAGGAGGAAAAGAGTTTTACTGTATTCCTTCTGATTGATAATACATGTATTTTTGTAGCTGGATGTTTTGTATATGGAAAGACCTCAAGACTTTTTTTCTTTTTTTCCCACATTGGCGCAGTTTTGTATGTAATGAGTACTGGTTCTCTTGTAGATAATTGCGACATAGAACATGTCATTACAACATAAAACATGTCTTTGGCTGATAGGAGTATTTCAGGACATCTGTAGCTTTTTAGGGGATTTCAGTGATCCAGCTATAATAAGTTAAGGGACACGCTGAAGTCCCTTCTTTCAAAATGATGTTTACCTTCCTTTTATTCTAGCAGAATAAAATGACAGAACGAGGCAATATACTCTGGTAAAGATGCACAACAAATGTTCATGCAACTTCTACTTTACATAATAATCTGATGCTTAAAACTAGTCTTTATATTCAAGACTGCAATACAGAATAGTTTTAGAAGATTGCTCCTTCATGTTATTAAGGTACAAATGTACATAATTCTGAGTATATGGAATTATTCTTCTCTATACTTTCTTAGCAAGTAAGACTTGCTGTCTGCTAATGGAAAAGTAAAGATATTTATTCATATACAGGACAGATTTCAGACAAAGTTTCTGGCTATTATTTGCCTACCGATAACTTCTCTATGCTCTATGCTAATTCAATACATTCAAAGTAGCTTTTTTCTAACGCATTTTTTTTTTTTTTCCAACATTCCGCATTCTCAAAATAAATAGCAAAAGAGCTAAAATGTAAAAATAAATAAAAAATGCATTTTCTTACATGCAATGGACAATGAATAGCATGGCCAAACCCAAACAGCATGCATGAAGGCATTGCCATGGCAGTAGTGTCATTTATGAAGTTCACATTCCATTTCAGCACACAAAGGAACAGAGAAGAAAAGAAATGGTAAAAAAAGAAAAAAAAAAAAGCCATCACATCAAACCAAGGTCAATATTCATTTCAAATGATAACCTGGGCTAGCCATAGTTAAGGAGTCCCAAAGACAAATAGTAAACTAACAGTCTGACAAAACTCAGGTAGACATTCACAAGTTTTGTTCATTTAAAAGGCATGTTATTCACCACATATTCTTTATAAGGTGCTTATTAGTGATATTTAATAAAAACAAAGCATGTATAGAGATACAATACGAGATGTGCTAGAGGCACAAAGAAATGTCTTAGAGATTACGATAGAAAATTCCGAGACCAGTATATTAATGGGAAGACGTTGTTTCCCCGCTATGCCTTTTTTTTCCCCTCCTCCCCCCTCTAAATATGTGTATTTACCAGTGTTTGGGCTCCATAATTTTTTCTTCCTAGGTTGCCATTTTGCATGGTTTATTCTAAGCCATGAAGAAACAAACTTATTGATCAGTTTGCTCTTCTCTTTATCCAGTCATGCACACAAGATGACTAGAATAAGCACAGCACCACTACATTCACCAGCACAACTTAATAAAACAAAACAGAAGTAAATCACTAGCAATGAAGCATGCACATGAAGAAAATGCAATCCATTTTAAGCTCAAAAAATGAAGGCAAAGTTCTATTACTTCAATGACAAATCAAGAAGGAAACAAAGAAAGAAAGAACTGGTGCAGCAACATAAAAATATATATATTAAAATGTGTGTTTTGAGGATGTCAGTATTCTTATAAATTCTATTGAAGGAATTCTATTTCTTGGTGTGAGGAATCTAGTTCATGTTTGTACTTGGGATCCTAATGAAGATTTGGGCTGTTAGGCTTTTAAACAAATAACGGTGAGAAGGCAGAAAAATCTTGGACCCCAGAGGGAGTCACAAGAACAGCTTCCAGTGTGGGTGGATGCCCAGTGCTTTTCCAGAGCTGCACATCCCTGAGCAGCCGGTACAGCCAGGATAAGCCAGCCACAGCCAGATCACACCATGACCCACTGAGGAGCCAGCTGTGCTCTGAATATTGAGATGTTTTATGTTCTGATGCTGATTTCTCCAGCGCCTAAACAAAAAATCTAGTCTGGAGGCGGTCTTCTAGACAATGTATAAACACAGCCACTTGAGACTCAGTGAAATCACCAAATTGAACTAGATCAGGATTTTACACCATGATTTTAATAGTGCTGCTATGCGAGCCACCGGATTTGCATCATATATTTCCATATATGTAAAAAGTTAACATGGTCTACTGCATCTAATTTTGTTATCTTGCCAGTAACATCGTTAATCTAACCCTTTAATTCCTTTTATTGAGTTTTCATTAGCTGTCTTCTGCTCAGGGATTGCATTATATAACTTTTACTGAATTTCCTTTTCCCTCTTCAAGTTGATGGTAGTTTATCCTCTGAATTTGGGTTTTCTAGTCTAAGAAATCTAACGTAAATAGCAAGTAAAACATATGTCCTAGTCTGACTTCACTGGAAAAAGCAAAAGCTAAACGGCTCAAATTCTTATATGTTATATCCTGTATGATTAAACTTGGCAATAAAATCATGAAAATGACCCTCTTGACTTAGGGTTTATGCAAGCATAGCCAGCACAAGTAGTCTCTCTCTCTCTCTCTCTCTCTCTTTCCTTTATTTTTTTTTCTTTTCAGTCTTCACATTCATTTCAAAATCTGAGGATAATTTTTGCAGCACGGCTCTAATTATCACCTATTAGTAAAACACCATAATTTAATGCAACACCCTTCACTACAGCCAATAACATGTTTTTTATTATTTAAACAAGGAAGGATGCAGGCTTCATGCTTTGGAAGCTGTTTGTCAAAGTAAACAGTTCTTTAGTTAGATTTTTCCTAGTAAGCAGGACAGAAGCTTTCTAATGTATTTCCAGGCCTATGCATTCTAGCGCACTAATCACCTCCATCCAAAGTTACCTGTACATGGGGTCTCCTTTTTCTCAAATTAACTTTTGGTATGCCCACACCAATTTGCTGAAGTAACAAAAAAGCAGTAATTTACTTTTTTACACTATTAATAAACAGACCACTTGTAGAAGTGAAATCTTTCCTACACATCTATATTCTACAGTGCACATGTACTGGAGCCAGGGACTAACCCTCATTCTGCTCAGGAGTTCTGAACTCAATGTCAGAATTGCACATAGGTTTTGTCTAGAGAAACAAAAAACAGACAAATTTTAAACAGTGTGAATGAAGTTAACAGAGCTTTCCCTCCCCCCATACTCTGCCAGAACTAAATTGTGGAAAAGTTTCACCTTTTGCACTTCTTGTTTACAGTTCCATCTGCTCTTAAATCTACCTTCCTCTTATATTTCTTTCAAAAATGTAAACCATATAACCAAATACTGGACCATAATGAAAGCATGTGCGATTCTATAATTATCATTACTTGGATTTTTATCACAACCATAATGAGAATGAAGAAAAGAATGCTAATCCTTAGAAATTATACTAAAAAAAAAAAAAAACCAAAACAGAATTATCTGCTGTTTTTCAAATCTTATCTAATTAGAACTCATCTTGTTAACATATACTTAATTTAGACTAACCACTCAATCCAGTGGCTACATTTATTTGGCGAGACAGGCGCCTGCTCTTTCTCAGGACAACGAGAAAACACACACAGAGTACATAGGCAGAAAATATAAAATTATTTGTTTAAAAGTGTAATATAAAATTATAAATACATATGTTTTATTTAGTTTAAAACTGTGTTAAACTGAAAGGTTAAAAAATATTTCCAATGTTATGGTTTGACACAGTTTTCACGCACAAAACAAAACAAAATGGAAAGTTCCTTAGATTTTTTAACCTGTTTTCAATCTGTCTTTCTAAATTTTTTTGTCAGTTGTAGAAACAGATTTACAAGTTCAGAATTTCTAAAGGTTTTTGTGTGTGTGTGTATGAGATGCTATTGCAAGAAAATTCCCCAAAATATTGTATTGAACCAGTTTTGATTTCAGATAAAATTTTCAGAAGGAAAGGCATTCAGAAGAAGGTACTACTGAAAGTTTGATACACCCTCACCTCTTCAAAGGTAAAGACGAAGTTATGTTTTAGCTTACATCTACTGAAAAATTGCTGCCAAAGAGGGTTAAGATGTTGTTAGTTGATACGTTAATGGCTACCAGGATGTTCAACTAAAATTAATGACATGTTAAAGAAAGCTCATGAATTCTAAATATATCTTTCTTCATAGTGTACCTTAGTTTTAAAACGTAGTTCTTGTATCAGTCTGTATAGCATGCACCACCCCAAACAAACTGGGAGTGAAAAAGTCTAGCCTGTGTAACTGTTAATAACAACAACAATAATAATGCATATGCTTAATATTACATTTAGACATTATTCTATCACATAAAACACATCACATAAAATAGCATTTTTTCAATATAGTCTAAATCTATATTATTCTATATTATTTTAACTTAAAAAAAAAAAAAAAAAGGCATCTACACAAAGAAACCATGACAATTAGTTTCCTCATAATCGTCTGCAGTCTGTCTAGGTTTAGCTGGAACTGAGTTTTTCATTCTCTATCAAAAGTTCTTTACTCTTACACAGTACAATGATTGCACATGAGGTGAACACAGCCTGTATTTATTAATTCCTCACAAGATGATGCCTAAAAGAAGAATGTTACATTGCTTCATTTTATGTTCCTTCTATTAACAAAATTCTAGTTTTATTTGGAAAAGGTAAACTACCTGCCATTATCTAAATTTCTATTAATCTCTAGGAAAGAGAATGATGCAATTATTTGTCACAGAATAATTCATTAAGCATAATCATCAAATCAAAACTTCTAGTTTTTTATCACATCATGAAAATCAAATGTGTATATATAGAAATAGAAGTGCTTGTAAATTTTTAAAACCTAATCAAAGTCTGTCTTTTTCTTGTTCTTCTTTTTCAAGGGTATTCTTGAAATAAATCAATAGGGATACTCCATCAACAGCTAAGATCAAGTTACTCCTTCTCCAAAAGCACGTTGTTGGTGTTTTCCTACACACTTGGCAAAAGATTTCAAACACATTCTTTACTTCAGAAAGTTAATTCACATATTCATAATTCAAATTCCCTTGGCTTGAGAATTAAACGAATCACTAAAGTATGTAAATGAATTCTTCATTTATTCTCTGCCATTTGTAGTTAAATATTGTGAAGTACTGAACAAAGGGTCTGCTATCCTTTCTGTAGCTACAGTAGGACATTCTAGTGAACAAACAAAAGAGGACAGTTGCCTTTCTTGCCTCAAGTTGTACTCACAATTTGCATTTATCTTGTCCAGAGATTGTTCAAACTGTCTAAATAAGAAATTTAAATATTGGCACCCGAACTATGCAGATATATTCTTTGATGTTCAGTACTTACAATGATTCATCATTAATTCTAGATTTTTTATTAGTACACTATCCATACATTTCTATCAACTCACAGTGGTTTTATTTATTTGTTTTTGTTAATTCAGCTCTAACCATTTTTCTCTTGTAGAATGATGTATTTTTGCATTGTGAACAACTTGAGGACAAAAGTGCTCAAAGTTTCTTTCTCACAGAGTTAAGGCATTTTGAAATATTCCATTAAACAGAAGATTTGTTGACATGAAGCAATCCTTCATTAAAACAGAGACTGAAGTTTTGATTTCTGAAAAACATTCAGCCATTCACCTTGAAGTATCTCATCAAAGCCAAGGAGGCAACTTCCACAAGGCAATACATGTAATTTATCAGTTCATAGAGGATCAAGACTACTATTATTGGCTATGAATCTAGAGTGAAATTTTGGTTTTAAAGTTTACTGAACTCTCAAGAAAATTACATCCTAATTAGATTTAGACAGATTTTATGTCTGAAAGACCTTTCATAAGTTGAATTAAAATCTAGCATTCTGGAAAAGAGTAAATGGTCTGATCCACCCCAACTCTGCAGCTCAGGTTTCATCTCTGGTAAATAGAAAGTAAGCAAAGAAACAAATATGAAAATACAAGTAAAAATAGTGTGTGATTGTCCCTGATTTCTGCGGTTTTGTAAGTATTAAAGTTTAAACTTCTGAAATAAGAAAACATCAAATAATAAACATACGCTAGTAAACTCCCTTGAGTTTGCTTCAATGGCAACTTGTAACACAGTACAACTTCTTTGTAATATTACACCTATCTCTGGTTGTTTTTTTTGTTTGTTCTTTTTTTTTTCTTTGTTACTACATATACTGAAATACTTATTTTATATTTATAGATGTCTGTGTGAAATATACGTGTTTCTTATTTTACTTATAACAAAATTCAACAAAAATCAATGCTCATCTTCTTGCTACCTAAGTGGATTTGGATGATGCCATACATAAACTGTGGATTTTCCTGACACCCCACAATGGAGAATTCGTTATTATTTTTCTCTGATAATTTAGGCAGTTCTTATTTATTCATATTACTTCGCACAATGTCCCCGTATTACAGTGAACAAAATTAGAAAGTTTCTCATACCTTTGGTTGAAGATTTGGATGAAGTAGCACGTACCCATTAGGATCAATTGCAAAGTAGTATCCATTTGGACAAAGCTGAAAGAAAGAAATGAAGTTTAGCGTAGTAAATCCCTAAGTAATAACGAAAGATTAACCAGTAGCTTTCCAGAAATAGTTACATTGAGGAAAATGTATTGCTTCAAGCATCATGAAGTATGTGAGATATTAATCCAGAGTAAAATTAAAAGAAAAGTTTACTCTTTTAGAATCATAAACTTAGGAGAATAATTTGTGCTGATGTGGAGTTCACAAGGCCCAATCCTTCACTGAAAGAAGTATACTGAGTATGCTCACTACACAGCTGACCTCTCCTATAAGGACGTATTGCTGAATTCTGTTCAACTTGTCCTCCATTATGAACCCTGCTATTCCTTTCCTACTTTTTCAGGCAATCTGTCCAAAGACTGTACTGTGGCATGGGATTTTCCCATCCTAGATGGGAGGCTCTGTATGTGCCTTTGGTAAAATTCATGATATTCTTTGTTTCCCCAGATGTAGTTTTCCACAGTAATGGGTATTTTCTTAGAAATTCTCTAGCTAGATGTCTGAGTATAGAAATCAATCATACTGAATAGTGTATAGACAGACATATATTTTAAAAATTATTATATATAAATAAACATATAAATATATATAAATATATATAAATAAATGTCCTCTAAAAATGGTATTATTACTATTAGCTATAGTTAATTATATACTCTGGACTCTGGTAGGAATCAAACACTGAGCAGCAATGCCTAAGGCTACAGAATAATAAATACTTGGAATATATCCCCTAGTGAAAAAGTTAGCTTTTACAGATGCATTCTGATGGACAATTCACACAGAAGCCTGGGTTTGCCTGGTCAGAAAATCTAAAACAATGGAAAAGAGTATATGAAAAGAAGCCTGCTGGTGTTTTGACTCACTTCCAGTCGTTGCTACATGACTGATGAAAGAGCACACAAAGAAATCGTACATAAATCATATATAAAGAAAAACTAGCAACACAAGCAACTCACCGTAAATCGAGGTGTCAGCTTTTTTATGTCTTCCAGAGAGACATCAACCCCCATTACTCCAAGAATCAACTGGTTCTGGCAAAATTCCAAAATGTTAGGTCATGTTTGACATATTTACAATACAGGATAACTGAGAGTCAGTGAATTTAAATTTTGCCTTCATCTCTTGTTTGACAAAAGTACTTGAAAAGTTGCCTATTTATTACTGGGTCTATTTTAAACATTTTTAATAATAACTAATGTGATTAAAGATAATATACATAATTTAGTCCAGAGTACGGAAATTGTTTCAGAAGACGATAATGCATGCTTTCCTGGATGAACAAACTATAAATGCAAGAACAAAACAAGCAAAATATATTGCTTGTCAAACTATTGTGAGTTACTAGTATCCATATAGACCTGTAAATACACCCTCAGGTTGGGCAGCTGACCATTAAAGTTATTAGACTGTAACAGCACTAGAAAACTTAATACTTAGATCTTAACTTGTACCCACAGTGCTATTTTTTATAATCATTACAACTAATTCATTTAAAGTCTGCATCATTGCCTTTTACCCTGAATTGTCAGAGCTTCACAGATTTGTTATATTTATCTGGCTTTCCTTCCTGGCAAGGCCTAAAAAATGTCACTTTCTACTTCCCATCTCCTGAGCACTTTGCTCATTCACACTGCCACCAGGTCATAGAGACAAAACAAGGAATGTCATACCCTGAAACTCAGAACAACAACATGAGTGACCTGAACTTTCTTGTTCACAAGATGTTAACAGGGAACTAGAGCCAATCTATTTATTTCTGACATATGAGACAATTAAATTGTAGAAAGTTCTATCAAAATGCACATTTTTCTAGGAGTTTAGCATTAAATTTAATTGTTTGCTTGCTTGCTTGCTTTAAATAACAGCTTACTATTTTTCCATTTTGTTCTTTTGTTAGATTGAAGACAGGCAGAGTTCCTGTAATCACAAGTCCCAGCTCCTAAGAAATAAACACATACAGAGGGAATAAAAAGACTTTTCAGTTTAATAACAAATATTCACGGGGAAATAGGGATTAGGGGGAAAAAAAAATAAATGCTTATGATAAAGAACCATTGTTACAAATGAACATTGCCACAAATTCTAATTGCTGCTAACACCAAGACTTGAGAAAAAGCCTGTAAGGGGACTAGATATATCTGTGCCCTCCTTCGTGATAAGAAAGTCAACAGATTTCAACCTTTACCTCTGATAGCTTAGTATGAGTTGGTCTCCACCTAATAAATATTATTACTAAAATGCCCTGTTTTTTATAAATGCATATGTATGCACACACACAAATATGCCTATGATTATATACACAGTTACAAACATGCTTACAAACCACACTTATGCAGGAAACTTGAAGGAAAGACTGAATTAACCCAATGAAAACACACAGTGACATGATAGAAGTTTTCAGATGTCACTCTTCATTAAGCAGATCTCTTTCTTTTCCAAGTTACAAATTTAGCTTTGGCTTTACAACAGGATATGTACAGAAAATAAGAACTTTCGTCACAACATCCTTTATATTTCCAGTAAGTACCTCAACAGTAACCCAGAAAACATGGGTAATGAACTTCTGGTCATTGAAATTCCAAAGAAAAACGGGTTCCCTGTGTGTCATGCTCAGTTCTATGATGTACTGATAAAAATTTACAATAATGCTGACTGACAGGAAGATGTGGATTTTGACATGACATTAATGACCATGTGACCTTAAATAGATACATCGTTCCAGATGACCATTTAACAGTATTTTCTGTCTAGATAGAGTTACTCAGAAGGAGGTTATCTAGAGCAACAGATTAGATTGCTGCTAATAATACTTTGCTGTTTGCAGTTCCCTGAATATGTTTGTTTTACAAGACTTGTGATATGTTTAGCAGTAAAGAAAGTATTTCATACAACTTTTTGTTTGTTTTCCAATTATATACACTGTCCAATTAAAGAAATCATTGCTTTGAGCAAGCAAGTAATTACAACTATGGTAATTTAAAGATCCATGTTCAAAATTTGTACACATACCCAGTGAAAACTGAAAGGTTTAATTCTCCCCTGAGTGCTTGGGGGAAAACAAAAACAAAAACAAAAACAAAAACAAAAAAGCCCTAACACAAAAACAAGCAAACAACCCTCCCCCCTCCACACACAAAAAAACCCCTTCACAACAGTAATATAACTGATGATCTCTATTGCAGCACAAGTATAAAACTGGAAAACTGTTTGTTTTTTTTATTATTATTTTTGCTGTTTTTTGTTTTTTGTTTTTGTTAATTTGTGAACATTGATGACTTCCACCTAAGGATCTGTGTGTAGAAATGCTTTTCTCTGTTAAAGTTCAGAACAGTAATGAAAATACCAGATGCAAGCAAAAATCAGCACGTTGGCACTAGTTCTTCAGAAAGTTGCTCTACTGAAGTGTTCAGATGCTGGAAATGGAAGAATATTATGTTTGGAATAATAATAAAAAATCGTTAGGACTGTGGAGAATGGAGCCTTATGCTAACTGATATCCTATGCCTTTCTTCCGGACAGACCAAGAATTTTACTCTAATAAATAACAGTCATACCAGAGCATCCAGATAGACATTTGTCCATTGGACCTGTTTGGCTTTTTCTCCAGCTAACACCATTGGCCTTCCCAAAACATCCAGATATTCCTGCCAAAAAGTGTAATAAACTTTTCAGAAAGCAGTTATTAGATTCATGTCCAGAAACAGCATAACACTAATAACAGTAAGAAAATAAAAGCAACATTAAAAAAAAAAAAAAAAGAAAAAGATTAGTGAAAAATGTCAACATTCACCACTAACACAAATATTTTATTTACATATTTATTTTATAATTCTACTACCCAACACCTCAGTCTTCAGACTGCAGTATGCACTGCCAAGACAATTCCTGTACTTCAGTGTCAGTTGCTCTATCACAGTTGGACCATATAGATCTATAACCACTGTTCTCTTTTCATGAATTGAGAATTACAATTACATCTATTCAAAAATTAGATGTTAGCGTCACAGTGAAATTACAGGCAGATCACAGATCCTTCAATTTAGAAGAGATAGTGGAGGGTGAGTGGTAATCACTATGTGAGGTCCTACAAGAAGAATCTGTGTAACTCCTATTGAAACTAAACTTTCAGAATTTTAAATGTGCATAGTCCCTGTCTTCCTTTAGTTCTGCACTGAAGATAGAGCTGGTGATCTAAAAAGTTATAAAATTTCTGGTCTGACTTGGGAATGGTTGCCATCAAACTTCTTTTACTCTTTAAGTTTTCCAGTCTGTCTTAAAATATTAGGGATATTTCTTGCCAGACACTATCTGGAAGAGTTTAACAGCATCAAAGGACTCTTACTCAAAGGACTGAAGCCAAAAAAAATGTTTTTTTTTTTGTTAAAGTTATGGACAAATAACTGCTATGATATTTCTTTATTTTTCTGGACATCTGAATACGTGAACTTTCATACAACAGAAAAAAATATCTGTCCATCTACGATGTCAGTTTGGATTGCATCATGTAATTCCAGGATCCTGTGTCCTTAATTATCTGCACTTATGTCTTCTAAATTGTCCCTGAATTTTGAAGAGGAAAAGCTGTCTGTCCAGGCTGGTTAGACTAACTCAGGAACCTCTCAAATAGTTGGGACTGTATCAGGCCACTGTTTCTGTTCAGTTGTGTTCAGAGATTTTATCAGATGTATGCCCTTATACAGACCACTGCCTTCTCCGTGCAATGCAAACCTGTCTAGAAAGGTTATATATTTATAAAAAAAATCTGGTTTTAAAGAACTTTGTGAAAATTGCTGCCAAATCTCAGGATCAAAGAGGAACCAAGTAAGGCAAGGAGGAAAACTGAGCCCAGAATGAAGCCCTTGTCTGAAAAGTGTTACAGGATGCTGATTATTTCAAACTTTAGTTTGTGCGCCTGTGGCCAGCCATTTTTAGAGGGTACTAGCATGACCTGCATGCATGTAAGCTGCTGTGGGCTAGCTGGCTAGGGTAACTGAGGTCACATTGTAAATTGGCTTACTGTAACTGTGCAGAAGGAAAAAATAAATGAAAACATTCTAAGAGAATAATACTGCATATGTACAAGAAAACTACAACTTTTTCTCCATTCTTAATGTACTCTACCTTGGAAAATGGTTTAGAACAGAAATTACCCTACTTTTTGTGTTACAACTGTATCTGCATTTTGCAGACGTCCTTACCTGGGTGTTTATTCTTATGGCTCCAATGGATGGAATTTCATAATAATAGCCTAAAATGGGGAACAGAGATAACACTTTCTTAATATAATACAATTCTAGTTTCTTCATCTTAGGGAATTTAATTTTACTCATAATTTCTAATTAAAACTTTATAGAAAGTACCATGTATGAATGAAACATTTTTTTTGTCAATGCCACATCAGCACATGGACACACATGCCGTACAGGCCAACCTAGTTACTCTTCAGCAGCAAGACTGTATTATGTATTAATTTTGTTAGTTGTTTTTAAAAGTAGGATAATGTACTGAATTTGTATTCTTGTACTCTCAGTTACTCTGAAGGGCCAGCTTACTTAATGGTGGTTTCAAAGCACTGTGATAGAAACAGAATTATATGTTGAATGTATGTATATAAGAAAGCAAAAATAATTATAGTTTGTTGCAGTACTGAAGTTCACAGCATAAAAACATAAAGCAATCTGGAAAGAACAAAAAATTGTATCCAGCATTTCTTCTACAGTGAACATCAGAAATGTCTTCATTCATTATCAATATTATCTCTTATTTGTCTGAATTAAAAACATTGCCCATATTCATCAGTAAGACTGAAAAGAAGGAGAAATAAAGCTCCTGATCCAAGATGCAGTTTCAGACCACAAATCAGAGGGAAGGAGAGCAGAATAAGAGAGGCAAGAGTAATGAGTTTCTCACGTACTTCGTCTTAAGTAATGTGTGATTTGATAACAAATTAAAAGCTTTAAGAAAAATTTAAACCAAAAATTCTTTTTTTGGATGTGCAAGCAAAGAATTCCATCAATTTTGGAAAGATTAGTATGATCATTTTCCTTTGATAATAAAATGACATAGGTGATAATTCCATAAGTGAGCTGGTCTGAATTTATTTTAACAGAATTTAGTTTAAATGCACATAGTATTCAGAGATATAAAGACATTACTTTAAAAATTTGTTCAAAAATCAAGTGCTGATTTTCTGTAATTATCTGACAATGCAATCTACAGAACATCTTGCATAACTTAGAATTCTGAGAGATTTATGATGTTCAGGTAAGCTATAAATTCTTCTCTATCATTACTCTTTCTATATTTGCATCTTTTATGTTTAAAAATTTCTCTTCTGCATTGTATCTTTGTTTATCTCTTGTCTCCTTCCCTAGTTATATGGTGCCTGAGATGCTTTCTTCTCATACTAATTCTAATTGCATCTTTCTACATTTTTCATGCAGAAATTTTAGGAGAATTTTACTTTCTTACATTAATTCTTTTTTTTTTTAATTTCCATTGAAAAAAATCATAAATTTAGGATGCACTTAGAAACTAAGGAATCACAGAAAGAATTGTTATGATATTTTCTTACAGAAAGAAAAAAAAAAGGGGGGTGGGAAGAAAACTAATGCAAGTCAGCTGGTCTCTTCTAAGTTTTTGAGAAGAAAAAAAAAAAAAAAAAAAAAAAAAAGAAAAAAAGAAATTGAATCAGCCAACCAACAGAACAAAAGATCCTTTTGTCCAAGCTCCTTAATATAAAACAGGTTTCACTAATTTTCTTATCTGTCATCAGTTCCATGTTTCCATAGATAGCTATTACAACAAGAACACTCAAAATTTGCCCATAATACCTTATTATTATTATAATGAATACTGTAATAATACTTTTCTTACAACACTGTATTATATAATAACAAATAAACACAAAACTTATTATTTATCCATAGGTATATACACATTTCATCAACTTTTTTGTAACTGATTAAAAATACAAGAAAGCTTCAAATTAGGCTGAAAAATAATTTTTAAAGAATGTTAAAGATATTTCTCTAGCAAAGAACAGTTTCAAAGACAAAGTACCTTTATTTTCACAGGCCATCCACTGAATAGGTCCTTTGTCATAATTATGTTGACCAACAGAAAATGTGAACACACGTACCTAAGCATATTAAAAAACAAACAAAAAGACATAACATAAAACTTAACTAAATACATTAATTAGCTGTGACTCTCAAGTTAATGATTCTTGGATTTTTTTTAAAATATATTTGAAGCAAAAAATATTTGAAGTAAATTGATATCAGTACAATAGAGTCACTGGCATTATGACATTTATGTGTTCTATTTTGTCCCACCAAGTAGAACTCATTAAGAATTTTCTTTCATACATCTTTCATGCTTTAAAGCTTTAATACTGGTTGTTCTGTAAAACATTTGAATTCTTTTTTATTTTTTCTAGTGCGCTTATTTTAACACTTCCTTCTTTTTTAAATTAGTTGCCATTATCTTCTATCATACTGATAAACTAAAATTAATAATAATAAATTAATGAAATAAGATAAAATAATTAAAACCCAGAATGTTTGTATGTAGATTAAAAATCATACAAGATGCAGAAAAAAGCTATATATATATATATATAAAGCTATATATATATATTATGCTTCAGTTTCCAATAGAATATTCTGCTCAGAAGCTGAACTTTTCTGAAGAAAGTTGGAAAAATATTTTCCCAGCAGTTTTAATAAGCTGATAACTATTTCTATGTCCCTCTGAAGGATTATCCTACAGCCACACAGTCTTTCCTTTTCAGGCATCTCTTCATGAACCTTTAACTTTACCACTTCACTTTACAAAACACAGATCATAATATGAAAATAAAATACAAATTCCTTTCCATGGGATTGAGTAATAAAGGACTGTTTTCCTTAAATACATTACATATAAAGCTGCATAGACTCCCTGCAAACTACTTTCTGATTGATGCTAAGTTTTTAGGTTGCATTTATTCAATTTTTCTTCACTTTAGTATGTGCTACATAAACCTTTATTTGTCAAATAAGCAACAGAAATTATGTGACACAGTCAGAGCCAATGTATTAATCAAGAGCTATAGGAATAGTTCCAAATCATCAGTCAACAGGTATCAGTTGGTGAAATTTTATTACTGATGACCCTTATATGGAGGAAGGGCAAACCAAGCCTTCCACTAGACGTCATTTAAATTAGGAATATGTTTTGATTTGCTCTATCTGACCAAACCCTTTGTTTCTGCTTATGGTAGAATTAAAACAACTACTTAGGCAAGATTTAAAAAATAAAATAAAAAAAATCTATTGAAGTTCTAATAAAATTACCATATATAAGGTCATTTCTCAATAACAACTCAAACCAGTTGCAGTTTTAGTTACACAGACAGGCACGTGAATGATTATGTGTCTGATGTTGAATTTTGTTCTCATAGTTTGTATGGACAGGGACAGATGAAAAATACCTTCAATTACCTTGAAAACATCAGTATTGCTAGTATGAACATAACTTTGATATGTCTGCATCTCATTTACCTTTTTTATTATGTGTCACATTGTAAAATCAAGTTTCATTTGCCATCTCCCACTTGTTCCCATTTGTTCTTGACCTTTTTTACAAAGTGCCAGCTATAACCCTTCTAATGGATCTGTTTCTATTTAATTACCATCTATTTTTTACAAGTTAAATATCATGTTGTTTTAAATCTGTATCTCTCAGCTCACAACCCATCTATGACACTTCTGTTTTTTTGGGAACTCACAACTGTTCATGGTTTAGTGTTCACTAAACAATTAAGATTACATTATTCTTAAAAATTATGGTGAAACAAGGCAAAATCAACTAAAGACCACTAGCTAGATAGTTGAGTGATTTGATGTCTCTTTTGGATTAAAAGCAACTAATTAAGTATAAAAGAGTCATGTGGGTTTGCTTGTGTGTGTATAAAATACGAGGCAATTAGACTGGATCATCTAGCATTTGATGTCAAATATAAAATTAAAGCACTGTGTTGGACTCAAGTTGCGAAATGGTATGTAATTTAGGGAAAAGAAGCAGCATGTTAAATCTGCAACTGATATATAAAGAATTCAGAATTTAAAATATTGACAACAACCAGAGGACAATATATCTGATTTAGTGTTCCTTGGATAATTAACAGAGATAAAGAACTGCAATGAAAATTTGAGTTTTTAATTGTTACTTGGTTTGGCAAGAAGGTGGAACATTCAAAAGAGTTCTGTTTTTCCCATTGCCTCATCTGGAATTGAGTAGAATGACAGACCAGCTGGAAAAATGAGTCAGAAAGTCAAATTAACAAGCCAATTTTAGCAAAAAAACATGCTCTGTGCTAGCATTTTCTGTGACATGATACAATGTCAGCCAAAGAACTGAGATGAATCTGTGTATACCTTTTTCTTATAGACATCTCTGCAAAGAAGACAGAAGATTTTCAAACTTAAATAAATAAATAAGACAGGTTTAATTACTTTTACTAGGAATATTGTGAATGAGAATAGATATAGATATAAGCATTTCTCCCTTTATTTGTTCCTCCTTTCAAATTTGGTTTCCACCAAGTAAGCAGATTTTTAAGTTGAAGAAAACTGCCAAGTATCTTTGATCCCTAGTTGTTTTTCATCTGAAATAGCCACTGAGACCTGTTAATTCCTTCTCTGTACTTCTCTAAAAGATCTGAGATCTTTTGAGTACACTAGGTTCCAGGGCTCTTTCACGCAGGTCTTCTTTCCCCAAATCTTTCCCCACAGAAAATCCAGCCTTACAGGGGAGATCCAATTGTTCTCTTCATGTACAAAAATAACATTCAAATTATTAAAAAGTAATGGAAGAATTAGAAGAAGAAAAAAAAAGCCTAAAAAGCTGTCTGGTTCTCAATGGGACTACTGAAAATATAGTTTTTCTAGAAAAGTCATACACTCATGATGGAGAAGTTAAGATGGTCAAATATGGTCTAGAAACTTTTCTTAAGGGTAAGAGTCCTAACTTCCACCACCAAGACTTCAAATCTGATGCTGCATTAGTTCTTTTAGGGTAATAAAATGTACTGATTCGCTATTTGAAACAAGTCTTCTATCATTATTATTTATTTTCAGTGTAAATAGTGTAGAGTAAAGCAATACCTTTATTAAAAATTAAAAATGTTTAGAACTATGTGAGGACAGTCAGATAATGAATGACAAAGGAAAAGGCTGTCCAGAGAAGCTGTTAAGTCTGCATTCTTCAAGATATTAGATAAAGCCCTGAGTAACCCAGTCTGATTTAATCCTGATTTTGCTTTGAGAAGGACATGGGATAAGAGGTCCAAAGGTCCTTGCATCCTGACTTATCCCACAATCCTTTGAAGGATATGAAAGGAAATAAATGAATAAAAAAATAAAAATCCAGCTCTCAATCAGAGAAATTTCCTAACAGAAACAATGCTACAGAAAGTAGAGGAAGAAGTACTTTATTAAGGAACTTAATAATCACATAAACTAAATATTTTACTAATTATTTATTTTCCTTTTTTTTTTTTTTGACTTCAAATTTCTCTCTACAAGAAAAAAGTCTAATAAAGATGAATGTGAACAGAAGGATTCTGACTCTTACACATATGAAGTGATAAAGGCACTCAAGAGAGCTGTGAGGAAAATAGAAATGAAGAGCTATACACAAATAGGCTGGTTTGGTTACAGATCTCAGTTGCCTTTTTCTTTCCCCCCCTATTTTATTTCTTCATATTGCCATTGGAGTAACATAAAGTAATAAGTAAAATGAATCTCACCATTTTACCACAATCGTGTAGAAGTGTGAAAGACTTTTTCCACCACTAGATAAACAAACTGAATCAGAAAATGATCTAATCAGATCATGTAATACTTCGGTATTCATGACAGTAAGATTTCAGAATATATTAATTTGAGCTTTGTAACTGCAGATAAAAAGTAAAAGTTTTTTTTTTAATTAGTATTATTGAAAACCAAGAGAAGCTGTAATAAAGAGGAATTAATAATTCAGTAATTTCAGCATCATCTAGGAAATTATTTTTTCCCATTAATGTGCTTATATAGATTATCAGATATGATGAAAAATTGTTTCAAGTTTATATCTAATAGTTGTACTTCTCAAGCAAGAGTAACATACCAAGACTATAATTCTAAATAAAATTGCAAAAATGCTTTTCTATGCCTCATTATGCAGTCTGTCTCCTACATCCCTCACAAGCATATCTTTTAAGCCACTTAATTAATTTGCAACTCTTCTGCTGGAGATCAGGGAAATGTTATGTTGTTTTCTAGCTATCGCTGTGATCATGCTCAGTGTGTTCCTTTCCTTACTGTGTTTACATCTTTGACTTATCCCCATAACCGAACAGAATTTTGAAGACAATTTCAGATTCTGCTATGAAGTAGCTAAGACCAAAAGGCATCTATGACCAATTTTAATGAAAAGCACAACTTCAGAGTTATCATCTGAAAACCCTAACTAGGTTAGCCATAAGAGATGCCAAATACTGAGTTTCATCTAAATTCTGGCCCATAATCTTTTGTCCTTGACTGCTAGATTCAGAACTTAAAGGGATACAGTCATGATTCATTTGGTTTTATCAATAAAAATAAAGCAGCTTTGCTTTGAAACAAAGGACAGGGAAAAGAGAAGCTGCCTGTTCAGGAGTATTGCTGACAGTGATGTGCTAGAGGAAACTTCTAGGGTCCCTTAGTCTACATTTATGCACTAAATAAACTGGGACATAAATCATTTTCTTTCTCAGTCTGAAGGGCAAAGAATGGCTCACATCTCTATGGCTACATTATTTTGCTTTCCTCCCTCCCTATCCCAACCCCCCACATCATTTGATCTCATTATGATTTCTTTTGGGATCAGCTATGGTTCATGCTCATCCCTGAACTGAACTCCTCAAGACACTGTTTGAGAGAGCTGACTGCCACAGGCCAAGAACCATACCATTGAGTCTGTTAACAATTAAACATTATGGATAATTCTGGACAGTTCTTCAGACTGCATGCTGACCTTGGTTTATGGGTACGGGCACAGCTGTGCGATTCAGTCATAAGAATAAGGCTTGTTTTCTTGTGAACGACTGAGCAGCATTCATCTTTTTCAAAACAC